TCAGCTCAAATTCAAATTATTCATAAATCTCTAAAACGCAATCGTATTGGTTGTGACGTCTCTGGTCATATAAATAGCGGATTGTTTACGTTCTGTGTATAGTGTTTAGTTGTGTGGTTGTGTTTCATTAATTATTTTGTGGCCTTAAATAATTAAAGCGTCAACAAACAATTTACCATGTGTACATATTTTTATGGTTACCGAATTTTGAAAAGACGACGAACGCTTTAATTCAGCCGAATTTAAGGGTATCAAAGCAGCAGCGTAAGTGAAAATCCGTAAATTCATTATTAGTTACTCTCTCCTTAATATACTAATCTGTCTGTATTGGTTTAAATTAGGTAAATAATATATATAATTTCACTTATTCAACTTAACCTAACCTATACACGTGACTGCTTTAAAAGTAAAACGAACTTTTAAATTTGTATTTTGGGCATCAAGAGAATAACATGGTAAAATCGGATATGTGGAATTGAAACGCGAGGGTTCTTTGTGCACAGTACAAGGTAGAATTTGCTCAGAACACAGAGTACGATCGAAGGCATATTCAGTCTGGCTCATCATTAGCAGTACTTCAATAGTTGGAGACTAAACACCACTCGGCCAAAAACGTGATCTCCGGAAAATTAGTATTATATATTCTGTTTGTTTGCATATATGTCAAGTAAAAGAAGGCAAGAAGAACATCTAGAAAACATGTACCTACAAACTTAGCTCTGAATGATTACTCACCAGTTGAAACACTCTTCTGCACCACATATACGAAAAATATTAGTAAATGGCCAAGAAATTATTATGATCGGGAATGTTAGGCTTTATAGCATAATGGAAGTTAATTCTATAATCTGAAAGTTTAAACTTACCCTCTTCTGATGGTTGGGAGCCATTTCGGTTGGCAATGTGGCTATGGCGAAGAGCTGATAAAAAACTTCATCAACCTGATAGTTCTTTTTAGCAGACGTTTCCACAAAAGTACAGTAAGAACCCTGACTATTGCAGTACATTTGCACCTCGTCTGCACTAACCGTTCTGAAATCACTTACACTTATTTAAAGGCATTTAGACGTTTTCTTCAAAGTTACCGCATTTCCTTGTCACATTTATTTCCTGCAAATACCATAGGTATTGGTGGTTTACACTTTTTCCCTTTTTGACTTCCGCCACTTTTTGCATTGCTCGCATTTTGTTTGGTTTCAATTATTTCTTTTCTTAGTTTTTTCGCCTCGTCGAATGATCCACGGCTGTCCAAACTGAACACAATAACAAACAATTCGCCTAAAAATTGTCCAGTACAGTGCCAGTCACATACAGTAAAAAAGCCCAGTACCAGTCAAAAATGATAGTCTTCTCATAGCTGGGAAAGGGTGATTGCCGGAAGTATCCAAAATATCCAACTGATACGTTTCTCCCCGAATTTTGTAAATTTTTCTGTGAAAATTTTCTATTGTAGGAGTATAACTGTCGTAAAATTTGCCTCCTAGAAATCTCGAAACCAGTGAAGTTTTTCCAGATCTGGCTGCTCCTAAGGAAGCAATATCATCGAGAAGCTAGAGATTCTTATTATATATTTTCTTGATCCCCTGGTTGAAAGTACGTGCTTTCGCCACTGTTTTCGGTTACTTTTATCCATTACAAATTTTCGTGTGGAAAGTAATAACTTTCGCCACGCAGACTGACAGCTTGACTTTGTCACTGACTGTCAGCTGACTATTTTGACAACAATTTAAAAGCTTTTTTTTTCAAAATCTTATACTTTTCCCGGCTAGTTTCCACCGAGGATCAAGAAAAATAGTATACGGTACGAAAGTTGAATGACCGCCAATGCGTGCATGAAGCCCTCGGCTTGTCCTCGGGCGTCAACTTCAAGCAGTGACGAAATTTCGACTTTCGTCTCTTGTGCCGTATTGTGCTATTTATACAGGGTGATTAAAAATTGACGTCATTCCTCTGGGGGTGTTTCGGGAGTACAGGAAAAACAGTAGAAACCTAGATCAGAAGGATGGCCACAATGTTTTTCAATGAAATCTGCCTAATTATTATTACGTAAATAGCTGTTGCTTCTTAATTATTACAAACTGCAGTAACCATGGGTAATCAAAAAACTTAGAGAGGAACAAAGTAGAAACAAGTACTTTGAGGTTATGACAACTTTGCCACGGGACAGGAATTTGCCACTTTGTCCAGGAATGTTCTGTGCATTTTGCGGTCAATGATGTTAAAGGTTGGAATGTATCATTGATCAATGTCGACATGGAAATCATTTGGAGAGGCATGTGTCCAGGAGTGGATATCTAGAGGCTAAAGAAGGAGAAAAAGACAGTGTGTTACTAAATTGACTGTACAACGGAACCACAAATTTCCTACCCGAATGTGTTTTTTCATTTATGTTTTTTTTTTGTTAATGTTTTCGCTCTGATCTAATCTATTAGACGAAACATCTGAAAAGGAATAAACAATGAGAACAAATTTGTATATACTTTCCTGACTGTGTTTCAATTCTAAATCAAATTTATTCCTGGGCTTCAGTCATTTATTGTCTCTATTAATCAATCAAAATACGTTTCGGTGTATTTTTCCACCATCATCAGTTTTTATGTGTAGCGTTGTTGCTGCTTTAAGCCTTGGCATGCATTTTCATAAATAAACGCATAAAAACTGATAATGGTGGGAAAATACACCAAAACGTATTTTGATTGATAAATAGAGACAATAAATGACTGAAACCCAGGAATAAATTTGATTTGGAATGAGAACAAATGCTAAAATTAGGAGATTAATCAAGGATGGGGATGTGGTACAAAAAATCAAGAAGACAGAGAAGAAGATCAAGGAGAAGCTGAATAGAAGGAATATATGAGGAGATTAGAGATAGAGGTTTGGAGCGAGACGTTTGTCTTTTTGAACCCGAATTACATGATAAAGAAAATTTCAATAAATTGACACCTGTGCCCACTTCTAGTTTTAATTAATGAAATGGAAGTCTAACTTTTCAAAATCAATTTTCCAGGATCAAAGTATTTAGAGCTAGGTTTTTACGGACTTATTACATTTATATATAAAAAATGTTATATATTTAATATGCAGTGTGATCCAAAATTAGCGTCATTCCTTTTAAGGGGTAATACGGGCTCACTTGGAGAGTACCAGAAAAATATTGAAATGTTTTTTTTTAATAAAGTTTAAGGTTTAATAAAATAAAATTACGATTTTTGCTTCAAATAATGATTTTTTTTATATTAAAAAAGTTCTTTTCTACAATTTTGTGATGGAAAGTCAGCGCGGCAATGACGTTTTTTTGTCATTAAAAGATAGTTTCAGGTAGATAGCCTTTGTCAATAATAACATTAATTTGTCAGACTATGCCTTACTTTCAAACTGCTTTCACGAATTGGCGGACATGCGATTGGTTCAGGAGAAATCTCACAGTAACATAGCAGATGCTGTAAGAAATCACGCTAACGAAGGTACGCCTTCCAGGGGTACTCAGAGCATTGCACAACAACTGACACTTTCCCAGGTACCAAAAAAATATCGAGGAAGGACTACATTTTGACAACGTATGTAAGATACACTCAGCACAAAGACACATTAAACCAAGCGCTTACTGAACACAGGTACGAATTGAGCAGAAGTTAATTAACCGAATTCGACAAGTTGCTCGAAAAGAGTAGATAATAAGGTGATTACACAGGCACTAACTTGTTTGGTGTTAAGGAGTCAAATGTATGTTTGTTAGTAATTTGTAAACAAATTAATTTAATAATAATAATTCAAGTTTATGAGGCCAATAATTGACATTTCTTCTTGAATTTACCGTTTATCCTTGTCCATTTCGGTATAATTCCATGGTTACCGGAGTTTTTAATAATTAGGAAGCAACAGGTATTTACGTTATGTCAATTAGGCAGATTACCTTGAAAACCATCCTTGCCGTCTTTCGAATATAGTTTTTTGCTATTATTAATTTAATAACCATAATTTTTAATGGTATAAATGTATATTTATTAATTTATTTGTATGGCTGTTTTTGAAAAAATAGCAGAATTGCTATCGAACCATTAACATATAAAGACTAAAACAACTTTGTTTATTATTGGGATTTTCTTTTACAACCTGAGCATTGAGAGCATGAGATTCGTAGACCGGCATTACGTTCTGAGAAGAAAATTTATTTTTCATTGACCAAATTTTCTTTATAAATTAATAAAATTGAGCATGAGATACTTTATCTTTACAAAGATAAAGTATCTCAAGGCAAATTGCTCTAATAAAAACATTCAAAATTAAAGAGCATATTTTACAAAACAGATCTCAAGAACAACAAACGAATAACCTGTTGTATATTCTGTTGTATGTTGTATTGTTGTATATATAAGTTGAGACTGCATTTTCAGTTTAATATAACAAATGAAATTTCATGGACATCATGCATATAAGCGTTTCATTAAATGTGTTTACGCACTTTTAAATTCTAGCAACTAAGAAGTTGGAAATCAATATTCCAAGATAATGCCATTGTAGTGGAAAAAATGTATTACATATCGACCAATAAATGTAGTTGGAGAAATTTCAAAATCGCATGAGAAGTCTTACAACAAAATAGCAGGAAGACAGTTGACGAGAATGTAAATGAACAATTATATTATGGTCCCAAATAAATAGGGATCTGCGAATGACATTTTTTCTAGATCGCTGTACTAAGAATAAGATTTTTTTCAATTTCAAAAGCTAAATTGGAACATTATCTAAACTTTAAAGCAGATGTTGGGAGAAGCAAGTTTGTGGTTAGAGCAAGACCAGTTTAAAAGTATAATTGTGTTTCTATTGTGGTTAGGCTATATATCGGAAAAATGTAGCAAGAATTGCATATTGTATGTGTGTATCTAAAGCATGAAACTAGTAAAATCTCACCTAACATCACTAATCGGTAACAGTTTTTGGAGGCCAACGCTGAATCACTGCAGGAACTAGTGCCGGCCGTCGAATTGCATTGAGACCCTGGGTTGGTGACTCTGATTTGTTCATTTGACGTTAGTTTCGGGTTACTCACTGGTTTACCGTTTTGAGTTGTTGTCCCAAAACAAGTAAAACAAGACGAGAAGTTCATTTTGATTATTATACTTTCTGCATCCACGTTAGATGCTAGAAATCGCAACCAAATTAAAACATCATGTTAAATCACGTTCGCTCACTAAACTACAACAAAAAGCAAGTACATAGTTCCCAAAATTCGAGGAATATTTGGAAAAATGTCGTGGTGATTTGCATTACTAGGTCAACTCTTTGCTTCACGTTCTGCGCCGGAGAAACCGCAGGGATGTAGGACCGCCCTTAAAAATCGATTGAAATCTCGGCACTGGTATAGCAGATTTCTCGTTTCCAGCGGCATTAGCGTAAAACGCTGCTGAAAATTATTAATAACAGACATGCGATCATATTTTGAAAGATCGTAGTATAATCTAGATACACGTCTGATATTGGCCAAAAAAACATTATTTTCGGGGGTAATTGCACAAGTGCTTCAAAATTACCGATAATTTTGCATGAAAGCTTGTTGTCTATTTTATTTTCATATTGTGTTATTTTTAGTGCTAGTTTATTTTAACATTGTGTCGCAAAAGCTCGACTCCGAAGGAGGAGGACTTTTTTGTACCCATATGAAAATAAACGAATGCAGTTTTCACAAGACAACAAGCTCAAATGCAAAATTATCTGTTTATTTTGATACACGAGTGTAATTTTGATGAATATATCCTGAGTGAACAAAGTAAATGTGGATTCATTTTATTAATTACCTCTGTAATTTTTCGATAATTACACACTTCAAACGGACAGACTATCATACGAAAGAAATATTCGCTGTAACTTTTTTTGGAAATTATCGAATTACCGTTTATTAATCCCTTTTTGCCCTATGGCCCGTGTTGGCTCAAATTATCGCATTTTAGTCTTGTATTTTATTATCGTTCGATAGTGTTTGTGATGTCACGCCCTTTAAGATGACGTGTAAATTACATTTTTTTGGTCTGGTATGAGCCCATGAACCGTTTACCTAACCTAAGTGAGTCATAGCTTTATGACGTCTAAATGACAAGTCATAAAGAGGCCTATATGGCGAATGTAACAGCTTTAATTAGAGATTAAGCTGAATCTTTGGGTATACTGGGTGATTTAAAATTGGCGTCATTCCTCTGGAGGTGTTGTCTGGCGGTATTTTAAAAGTACAAAAAAAATAGTTAAAAAAATTATCGTTATTAAAAACTGAGAAACTTGCAAAACTTATATCAGAAAGATGGCAACAATGTTTTTCAAGGTTATCTGCCTAATTAACATTACGTAAAAACCTGTTTCTTCGTAATTATTTAAAACTCCAATAACCATGGAATTATACAGAGTGGCAATAAAATATATAAGGATAGACCGTCAATTCAACAGGATTCGTTGAATGTAGGAACGTACTTTTTCGAAATGTCAATTATTGTCCTCATAACCTCGAATTATTAATTTGTTTACAAATTACATTTAAAAATTAATTTGTGTCTTTAACTCCAAACAACTTAGAGCCTGTCTAATCAGCTTATTACCCACTCTTCTTGAGCAGCTTTTCGTATTCAGTTAATTAACTCATGCTCAATTTGTACCGGTGTTCAGTAAGCTATTGGATTAATGTGTCCTTGTGCTAAGTGTATCGTACATACGTTGTCGGAATGTATCCCAGCCTGTGTTTTATGTCACGTGTATTTCATCCATCTTTTGTATTTGGTCTTTTGTTAAAACATTTCTTAATAGCAACAGATTAAAACCTTCATTTATTATTTCCGTTGTTTAAATTACTGCCAACAAACTCCTTCATCAAGGGTCCCTTACTGGTTTCAATTTACATAAAATCTTTAACAGATATGCTGTTGGATAATGGTGTGATCGACTTCTATGCTGACGACACAGTCGTGGCTTTCGTGGGGGAAACGAAAGGTTTGGGAGGGGGTATACGAGAGGACCGCTCTCGGATTGGATGAAATAAAAAATTGACTTGACTAATTCAAATTGACTCTGAATGTTGACAAATCAAATTACATAGCCTTCTCCCTAAGAGCAGCAAATCGTCCCAAAAATAAATGGAATTAAAAACGAAATAAAAGAGGTACCATCTACTACGTATTTAAGGGTAATAGTTGATCAACATCTAAAGTGAAAACAGCATATTTCTAGATAGACTAATAATCTTAAGAAATAAATTCGAAAATTTTATATGATTAGCTACATCTGAAATGAATATCTTTTAATTTGTGTATACAAAGCCACAGTAGAGGCCTTACTTACATATGCTATAATACTATGGGGAAATTCATACGAAAATGCTCTAAAGCCCTTGACAACAATTCAAATCTATATTCTTAAAAAAAATTTCAGAAAAATAAAATGTTTCCAACAAGAAAGATCCTTGTTTGTCTTGAGTGTCTGTTCTCATGCATATCAGAATCCCACAATGGCAAAATGTATTGATCACTCGTACCCCGCCAGGTTTAATGTTGAAAAAACCCTTAAAATTCCAAATGGTTGTACGAATTTAAATCTTAGATCTGTGGACTATCTTGGTGCTAAAATATTCGACTTTCTACCGACGGCAGTGAGAGCAACTGAAAATAAGCGGGTTTTTCAACAGAAATGCATATACTTTGTGCTCACTGATTTTGAGAGTTTTACTGTCCTATTCTGAGTGTCTGTAGCCAATGAAGTATCACTTAACAGAAAAAAATTCTTATAATTGATTAATATTAAATATTCAGAAACTCTACTGGTACATACAGAAATTTGTTTTTTAGGTACCTATTTGAATGTGTTAGAATTGTTTTAATATGGGAATGTAAAACTGCCTTTAAAAACATTTATTGTAACATATTGAGTATTGAGTATTTGCTGCTTGTTCCGGAAGTCCTTACAGCGCCGCTTCGGTGATAACAAGGACTGATAGCAAGGTTTCCTACCTTCGCCAAGACAGATTGCTCCTCGGGTTTTAGAGAAAGACTGCTGAGATTAACAACAGTTCGTGCTGGGTCCAGGCCTGGTGTTGTTTAGGTTGTTCTCTTTAATTTCATCAATTTTGTTATTTTTTGCTTCTGCCTCTACGTGGCGCTGTCTAGTTTTATGAACCAAGCCACCTCTGGAGATGCAAGCCAGTCTTGCTTGCAAAACGTCAGTAAGTCAAGTGAAGTTTTATTTTAGAAAAAAGAGAAGAGAAGGAAAAGAAGAAAAACCTTGAAAGGATATGTCCACCTACCTCTCTACCATTTAAAGTGGTAAGTTCCAGTTTTCCTGCTCTCCCTTGTGCGAAGTTATAAGGAGCTAGAATGTGTTTTTTTGGAAATGTCCTTCTTTTATTAGACTGGCAAAATCAGCTTTATTTTTACGTGACATTTTTAATAAAATAATTCACATTGAGCAAGTGGAGGAAGTATTGTATTGAATAAATTTAAATGATCATAGTACGCATGCAAATCTCAAGATTCGTTCAAATGTTCTTAACGCAAGTCATAATATTAACAAATTAGTAATATAAATAGATAACAACTTTTAACTAATTAATAATTACAGTAACAAATCAACAAAGTTTTGATTATACATTACATCCTTAGTGATTTAACTAACAAATAATGCTAATTCTGTAAAATAAGTGTTAATAGTTTACAAGGCAAAATACGAGAAGACATAAGTGTTTTATATATAGAAATATTTTTTTAAACCGTTCACATATTCCTAAACGTATAAGGCAAGTGTCATAATTTGCGGTACGGTATAGTTTTTCGCGTACTGAAAGTAAAAATAAGAACTAATTCAGATTAGTGAAAAACAAATAAAACCAAGTACTGGTTTCACTTGCCATCAGGAACAATTCCCTTGCTGTGTGGAAAATACTTTTCCTATAATTGGTGAAATAAAATATTATTACTCAACTTTGAACTAAATTTTGAACGGAACAGAATTAATTTTAGAATCAGTGAGACGTATCAACACATGAACAGCTCGCACATAAATAGTCGGAACGGAAAGTTATATTAATTTTTACACGGGTATACCAAAAGTGGCGCAAACTATAAAAATTGACGATGAGCAGACGTATTTGATAAAAGTTCGTTTAGCACTCGTGTTATCGATGCTGATGATTTCATTCGAACTAGAGCAGATCAATGCACAAAAGTCAAAGTCTGCATTCAACTTTTATTCATTGGACGCAGAGTTACTTTCCGCGTTTTATGCCTTGCAGCGTTGAATATATTTATGGAATAATAGATCTTGCAACTGCAACAAATCTACTTCGTCTTCAGTCAACGTGTAAATGCAACTACAAAAATTTCAGATTTCGAAATTTTTACTTATGGTTATTTTTGAAAACAACAACAAGCGACAAATAAATCAAAACAAATTATTATTATTTTTTAACTTCATAAAATTTATATAATAAAATTATTATTAATTGTAAAACATTTGCATTTCTCTATATGTGCCAAAATGATTACTTGATGTTTCGGTATACCCTTTTCATTTTTTTTGTTGCTGGAGTTTTACCTAACAGTCACGATCCAATTGTTATGAAATAAATATGCAAAAAGTTAGTCAAGTCTGCATAGACAGTTATTTTCGGAACAAATAGGGATATTAGAAAAGGAAATATTTTATAGGTCTTTGGGCGGATTGAAATACTCCCAGTGATGGAGGTGAACCACTGTGCGTTCTTCTCCGTAGCCAAGCAAAATCAGACCGGCGATTAAAACTAACAAAATAACCATAAAAACATGCAGGTCTTGATTTCCGTCCGAATTCCTCAAAAACTTCTGAGTCAAATCGAAAATCAGTCTTTTAAGGGCGTTGTTGAGGCGAGAACCGCACGCCTCAATGAGACGTCTTGATAGTTCCGGAATGGATGCTTCGCTACCACGTCTGGACATCCTGCGGGAACGTCGATGAGCTGCAGAAGAAACTTCTTCTTCAGAAGTTGAGCGAGACCTGAAAGTACAAGTTACCTTTATTGCATACATTTCAACTCCGTTTTCGTTGTTTATATCATAAAATCCTACGGTGGTAGAAGTAGTAGAAGATAAAAACAGTATAGTACCTAAACACAGGCAATTCAACCCGAATTAAAGTTGATCATGGGGGATAGCATAAGCCCGTTCCTGTTCACGCTGATTATGGACGAGCGCATTGAAGAGATCAGCGGCTTAAGAATGGGGTATAGGATCAACATAAAACCCATTAGCATAATTTGCTAAGCTGAAGACGCGACAATATTGGTAGAAATGGAGGACAATTTGCCAAGACAACTTCATAGATTCAATCAGGGCAGCACATAATTTAATTTGCAAGTATCAATATGCAAGACAAAATGTATGACATTTGCCAGGGAACCAACGAGATGTAAGCCGGTTATAAATAATGAAATTATCGGACAAATCACAACTTTTAGATACCTTGGAGCGGATATTTCTAGCCGCAACAAACCAACTGAAGATCTTAAATCCCAGATCAACAAAGCCTCGTTAACATCCGGTTGCTTAAGAGACGTCATATAGAACAAGAAACATATGAGCATCGACAGTAAAGTGCGAGTATACAAAACATACGGAAGACGATTACTCACCTATGGCATCGAGACCCGAGCAGACACAAACAAAATAAAATGTATGTTAAGAAATTTGTATGTGTGAAGTAAAAATGTTTGAATCTTTGGAAATATAATTCCAGTTTTGGAAAGATAAGAATATCATAACAAGTACACGCAGTCAGGAAAATAAAACCGAATATGTTAAGAATGGCAAAGATGAAAACTCTAAGGTTAATAGCGGGAAAACACTACGGGATAGAGTGAGGAGCGCGGTCCAAAAACGAGATAGACTATAATCTAACATCGAACCCCCAATTATGCTCGGACGTGTCAGATTTTTTAGCGCCAGGATCCATGTCAATACTCAACACCAGAGAAAAGCTCCAGTAAAGAGAAATACGCCCAACCACCGGTAAATTACCAGAGAAAGAGGACGAATTGGGCAAATTGAATAGCAGCAGAATAGGCACATTGATAAGAAGCGTCTGTTGAAGATACGCTAAACATGAAACTTCACGCACTCACAACGAAGATCACCTCTAGTATTAGAAACGCAGTGCGGAAAGTCTGTAGGCACTCTCCAAATTCCGAAATTCACTTTAGAAACAGAACAACTCATCGAAGAAGGGCGGAAAGCAGGCAAAAACTCACCAAGGTATGGGGACCTGAATAAGATCGTCAAGAAGATCATCAGGAACGATCAGAGAGCTTATAATACGAGGACGATCGTAGAAGCATTATAAAACAACAAAAACATGACGATTGTCCGTTCCGAGAAATCTGAAGGTAAAATGATTATCCACAAGATGAAAAAGGATCAGGGAGTCATTGAGAGTGAAAGAGGAAAGATCTCAGAAATTATTGAGAGACTCTATCGATGACTATACAGCCCATCGGTGACACCAGATCAAGAAGGTCAAATTCATCAGCCAGTCCTAAACGTAGGATCAGAGGAATTAGGAATTAGCGCCCATTGATGGATAAGAACTTAATGTCCAATTTGTGCGTATTTTCGCTGCTAAGTCATACCGGAGCACAATGCTGCGCTATCGAGTATGTCAGGGCCACTGCGGTAGTCCGTAACGTGCTCAGGAAAAGTCCGCTGGTTTCCTAAGCGTGTTACTTCTATATTTTCCTTCTGATCGACTAGAAATGTTTATGGGCTTTAACCTCCACTTTTTATGGTAAGCATTAAGTCTCGACAGGTCGAAGGAGAGGACGATCTCGGCGGGCTCCAGTTCTTTGTGTTGATACACACTGACATATCATCAGCATACATGAATTTCCACGACTTGGTACTCGGCATGTCGCTTATGTAAACACTGAACCCGACGGGGCCAGCACCGATCCCTGGAGGAGGCCGTTTTTAAATAGTTCTTGGGTGGCTTGTATTACCATTTATTTCCACTACAACTCCTCTGTTACTCAACATGGATTGGACGAGTTTTGTTATTTTATAATAAGGGATCACTGTCTGTAGTTCGTAGATCATCCCCTTTTCCCAAACGGTGTCATAGGCAGATGACAGATCCATGAACGCGGTATAGCTCTTGAGACCTCTCGTAAACCCCGTTTCGGTGTGGGTAGTCAGGGCCCATACCTGGTCACAGCAGCTTCTACCCGGCCTGACCAATTTAGATTTTGCTTTAATGCATATTCTGCTGAAGGTTAGCCGTTCAAGTACTTTATAGCACATAGATAATAGATCTATCGGTCTTTAGCTGGCCGGATTCTCTGGAGGATTTCCGGGTTACAGAACGGCTAGAACCCGCGATTTTCCTAAGATTTTTAGAAACTCTCCCCTGTTCAACAAGTTCAAAAAAATCAAGCATGATTCTTGAGTTTGCGCTAAGGTTTTTAATACATTCAAGAAAGACCTTGCCACTGCCGGGGGCGTTATGGAGTTTCAGTCGCGATACACAGCATTCAGTCTCCAATGGCAGGCGACCAAAAGCCTCCCTCACCTCAGTTTTCGCGCCCTGCAAATTATTTGTCATTCGGGACACCATCACTCACACTCTGCGGATTTTGGGCTTTCCCGTTTGGGTTGATGTTGTGGGTCCGCTAAGGAGGGGGGAGCGCTGCGCTCAGCCGAAAGTGTACATGTTTGGTTGGCCTTTTATCCTGGGTTCCGGCGTTTCGGCATACCCCAAGTTTTTGTGATGCACACGCACTATCCGCGAAACGACCATAATTGGAACTCCTTACGCCGTTCCTTGGACTCCTCCCTCCAACCTTAACCTAATGAATATACAACGTTTTCCCTACACTAATGCCTTAATTCCAATAACAAAGGACACAAAACTTAACTTAATGCCGAGGACATCGCCCAGGGACATTTCTTCGATCCTCATCGCGAGCTCGGCCCATTCGTTTAGCTTGTTTATGTCTCAGTGTTGTTGGTCCCGTGCTCGTCTCGTAATGTTATCGTGTAGTGCGTGTATTTGCTCCGTATGTATTCTCTTGCTTGTTGTCTGTCGGTTTCCGTGCAGGTATGTTTAATGTGGTCTATCGTTTCGTTCCCAGGCCCGCATGCACATGTCGCGCTGTCCGTAAGTTTGAAACTTTGTAGGTAGTAGTTCATGTTCCCGTGTCCTGTTGCATGTTGTTGTAATTGTATGTTATTGTTGTATGTAATTATGTCTCGGACCACCGTCTTGCATATGTGGTATAGTAGTCGTCCTTTATCGCTTTTGTCCCAGTTGTCCTGCCATGTGTCCATTGTGTTGTTTACTCGTGTCTTAGCCCATTCCCTATTGGTCTTGGTGTTGTATTTGGTGGTGTCCTTTGTCACGTTCGTCAATTCGGCACCTTCGCTTGCCAGCTTGTGGGCTGCCGCGGTGTGTATGTCCTTGTCGTGTCCCTTCTCTCATTATATAAGCTTCCGCCATCCTTTCCTATGTCTGAATTCAATGTGTCGTTGTAGTTCAGTGATGGCCTTCGTTGTAGTCTTTCCTCTGTTGATTGTTTGTGCTATTTCTTATGTCAGTGTAATGTCTCGTGTTGGCCATTTCTATGGCTTTGATCGCGGCGTATGTCTCAGCAGTGTGTATTTTGGTGTCCTCCGATATTCGTGTTTTGTGGTCGTCCAGGTCCTCAATGTGTATTTCTTTTGCTGTTCGTCCGTTGTTCATGTATTTTAATTGTCTTCTGTTGTTTTGGTGTGTCTGTAGTTTTTAGATGTTAAATGTTCGCGTGTGGCTTGTCTATGTGTTTTATTCTGTGTTCTTCCCCCTTGTTGCGTCTGATTTTATGTACGTTGTGTCTTGCCATAGGTTCAATCCACCATGGTAGTGTTCCATCCAGCACTTGTAGTGCGGCTGTTGGGGTCATGTTATACGATTTGATAGCTATATGCAAGCCCGTCTGGCGGCAAGTGGTTGTCTCTGTCATGTCTCGTTTGCTTTGTGTCCCCATACCTCGGAACGGTACAGCACTGCCGGTCTGAGGGCTCTCTGTATTATTTTTAGTAATGTTGTCTGGTTCAGCCACCACAGTCATTTTATTTTGTGTCCGAGTTTAAGTGCTATCTTTTTTACTTTGTGTTTCGTTTAGTTGTCCGTTTTGTGTCGTGTATTTGATGGTGTCGTGTTGGTCTATTCTGTGGTTGTCCGTTTTCGGTGTCGGTGGCCGGATCCTCTTGGTGCTGATAAACGTGGCCTCTGTTTTATTTGCATTGCATTTTGACCCGTTCTGTCTTGCCCATCTCTTGCACGCGGCCCATATGTATGTCCATTTTTTTCGATCATGAGCCTCGGCGGACTCCCCCGTGATAATTATCACTTCGTCACCCGCGAAAGCCTGAACGTATGTTATATCGTCCACGTGTTGTATATGTGTGGAAAGTGTACAGTCGATATTTTTGTTTTCTTCCACAATTCCGCTCACTCTCTATCCAAGGCTGAAAGGATGCTATACGCTAGATCCGGCTCCCCCGACTCCTCGGGCCTCTCGCAAAGGTCCTCCAGTTCCTTCGACCAACGGGGTATGTAATCCTTCCTTTAGCCCCGAGTTATAGCTTTCTTGGCCGCATCATGCATTACTCTCACAGACCTCTTGTAGTTCACGAGTAGGTGGAACACTTAGGAGATCAAAATCTCAAATCTCCTTCCTGACGCAATAAATGCCATTTGGCTCCCTTAAAGTTTCATCTTGGTTGTCGGGGCGTTTTAAAGATCGGCACTTGGATTCAAATGGTTGTTATGGACGGTCTGTGTTGACTGTTGGGAAAGTTACCCATTGTTTTCTGAGTTGCCGGCAGGGGTTGCTACAAAGCAGAGGTCCGGGAACCTCTCAGTCTGCCATCTCGCAGATCTGAACGTTTTGCTATTTTTGGAGTCGCACACAAGGTGTAGACTCTCACCCTCATAATAAATATCCCCCAGCATTGTGGTGACTTTTGAAGTCGCCCACAAAGAGTGAAGGGTGGGACGAATTGATAGATGAATGAATATTTGCAAACCATTCATCTTCAGTGTGATTATTTATATACCATTTGCCGAGAGCTGCCCCCGACTTTGGAAGACAAGTAGCTAACGTTATTTTTTATATGCAAGGCAGAACCGTAAGCTCTAGACTGAGTGTGGGATTCCACGCGGTATCCGCAGATTTTTAATATTAACAGAGCTTGCTGATCGGATTCAATGTGTCTCCTGCAGACAAATAATATCTATGTCATTATTAATCGCCAACCGGTGGATGTAGTCACATTTGGCCCTAGAAATACCCTCTACGAATTGCAGTATTCGGACTCGGTAAAGGTTCGATAGCTCTTGCCAATTGGTTGTAATAGCGACCGTTTGCATTTGCCTCACTCATAATGTCGCAAATAATCTCGTTGGTAGAGCTTTTCCAGTTGCTGTGGAATTTTAGCCGGTTGGACCGTAGCCTGGGGTATACGAAGAAGGTATTCCACACTCCCATCCGCTTAAAAGCCGCTTATATCGGTTTGAGGCAGTTTGAATGGTAATGAGTCTTCTATCTATATTCCTTTCCATACATAACACAGAGTGTAACACAACAAGTAATGATAATAAACATCTTAGATAAAACACGGTATAATTAAAGAAAAGCCACACAAATTTACCTAGACAACGGACGGGTGCGATGTTGGCGCACCTTTCTTGAAGGGGGCGTGGCCGGAATGTGTTCATCCACATACTTCTGGGCTCGAAGTGCATAAAAGGAGGCAGGCGGTTGTGATGGAAGGTAACGTGGATTAGGTGGCCGTGGAGGTGGAAGCTGATCATCGATTTCCGGTTCCATCATCTGCAAGTCTCGTTGCTGGGTTGCATGGATGTCCGCCGCTGCGTCTATACTAAAAAAGCAATATGTAAATCACAAAATGCCCGTTCTCGAACAGCATAACGATTACCCTGTGAGATCTTTATCGTTCGTTTCATACAACAAACTGTCTCGGAAAGTTCTTTCCAAAGTACTGCTTCTTGGCGGGGGTACAGGAAGCGGCAGTCGTTCTTGGTGGAAAAGCAGCTCCTGTGATTGGTTGGGAGAATGTTCTGGAGTCTTTGCATATTGGTCTTCGGCATGCTTTAGCTCCGCAGATTTGGGATAATTTGACGATCGTTGCTCGACATCGGAAAAACTTTGGGGATTTGGAGCGTCACTAGACGAGCTGTATAGTACTTGGCTATTAGATGGATCTACTTGTCCAGAATTCGAGAACTGGTTAAGTGTGCCAGGATCGACGTCGAGATCCGTTACCTAAAAAATTCCAGTTTCTTAGTACTAGTTCTAGAGTACTAATGCTGATAAAATTTAAGGAACGGAATATTTTTTTTCGAAATTTGGATAAAACGTAAAGTCTGGCCGTTTTAAGGTTCCCAGTAGCTTACTCTGTAGTAGTACCGTGCTACACGTTGGTGGATCCACGACGGTCCTATTTTCAACGGAAGTACGAAATTAGTGATAATATTGGCGATAAAATTATTGTGAGTTTTCTTTGGTTTTATGCTGAGTTTTTAATTTGTTTTGTACGTAAACTAACAATACTTCATATTTTGTACAAACAGCATGCAACTTTTAGAGTACAGTTTAGCTTACACTGTTCTGATTGAGCAGTGTAAGCCTTCAAGCTCACAGTGTAAGCCTTCACTTCTGAAGATGCAAGCCACTCGTGCTTGCGAAACATCAAGAAGAAATTCAACCCAACGACGGCCTAAAAACCCGAAAAACCCATTAGTTTCAATATATGAAATGTGACACTAATCATAAAAATTGGCGATTCGAGAGAACTGGTAATTCTTGGAGATCTCCATAGCGGAACAGGAAAAAAACAAATAAATAAAGTAGTAGGTAAATATGGCGAATAAGTAAATAACAGCAACGGAGAAAGACTAATTGAGCTGTGCACGCAGAACGATCCAAAAATATTAAATGGGTTCTATCCCCACAAGGAGATTCACAAGTACACGTTGATTCAAAATGCAAGAAACCTACAATACGTAATAGACTATGTAATAGTGAGACAGCAAACAAAGTTGAAAATAGTAGATGTAAGGGTGCAGAGGGGACCAACATGCGGATGTGACCATTACTAAGATCAAACATCAGGTTTCAGGCAATCAAAAGGAAAAGACAAACACCGAAAGAGAGTAATAGAGAAAGAAATGACGAGCGACTATTAAATCTGAAACGCCTCGAAAACCGTTGCAAATGCAATTCCAAAAGATATTAGACGATAAATTAGGAAAAAACCAGATACCTAATATTAACAGCTACTATGAATGAAAAGAAATGATAGGAGAAAAGAAACGAAAATAGCAGAAATATCCGGACTCAAGAAAATCAGATGACCTATCAGAAAATAAAAAAGTACAAGCACTGGTGAGAAGGAGAAAATGTGTTAAGAAAAACCACACTTGGGAAAATAGGTGCCAAAAAATAAACATAAACACTTACATAGAAGGAACCAGAAGCTCAGAAAGTTGAAAAACCATAAAAAGCATGAGAAACAACAAAAACAGATAAATCATATCACTAATTAAACCACAACAATGGGGACAATATTTTTAAGAACTACTCACGGAGAATAGTAGAGGTGAGATAAACGGTTATTTTTCTGTAAGAAGGTTACAACGTTCCAGTTTCACGTTGATGATAGGTTTTGAAATGCGGTTCCAAACGGAACATGTTACTTTTAAGATTTTTCATTAAACATGCGCAATGATGATCATGGTAGAAATAGTAATGACAAATAATGATTTAGTTTATTAAAAGAATAATTATTAACTAAAGCTCTTAGATAAAATAAAACATTCTAAAATCAAAAACAAAACATGGGTCAGAAGTACCTGCTTAAAGAACAAAAGAATTGATAATAAACTAGATGAAATGAATAAACAAAAGCTGATTAAATGAAATATACGCTTTATTTGCAAAAATGTTTAAAAATCTAATTTTCATTTATAAATGAATTAACAGTACGTAACAATTTAAAAAGTACGGTTTAAATTGGCAAACGGCTGCAGCTGGATAGATGCTCGACGGTGTCGCATCGGTTCTGTGCTGTTGCAAACGGCTTTTTCGGGTTTATGAGACGGTTCCATACTCAACCGGTTAAATCTGCTAGCTGTAACTACGGTTTCAGGTTACACGTTTGTAATAGTGTTATTTTAGCGGTTACGTTAATTACCGACCATCCCTAGAGAATAAACAGGAATGCATATATATAAAGGAATTGGACACCGCAGACACTGTTAACGTCACCAGGTCACCCCTCAAAGTGTGCAAAGAGTTGAAAAATGCACAGTCTCAGGGATCCGGAAATATTCCCGGCGAGCTCTTCGAAGATGGCACAGAGAGGTATACATAAATTTGACAATAGTAATGCAAAAATGTATCGGAAATCCCAAAAGAATGGAACATATCACAGATTAGCCCCATATACAAACAAGGGGATAAGTTTAAATGTGTGAACTATCGATTGATTCAACCACGGATGCTGTACCTCACCGACCTTATTCAAAATATGCCTGGAGGAAATCTTGAAGAAATGGAAAGAAAACTGCAATACTATGGGCTACTCCACTCTCAGACACGACCCTTTATTCTCGTTCCTCTATCATTCGCTGATGATCAAATGCTAGTCGCGCAAGACCACGACGATTTGAGCTATATGACCCGAAAGCTAATTGAAGAATATCAACATGGGGGTCTGCAAGTGAACACACAAAAGACTTGGGATTAGTTTATGACTACAATTTAAAATGGGATGAGCATATTCACAATTTAATAATGAAAACAAGATATATATGTTATATATGCTATCGAAATACATGCAATCAGGGATACTTAGGATAAATTACTTTGCGTTCTTTCATGCTATTATTATTTATGGAAATATAGCATAAGGGAGGTGCATATTGAAATTATCTCGATTCTTTACAGAAACTACAGAAACTACAGAAAATAATGAATTAACTTAAATTAAATAAGGGACCTTTAAACTTAACTCAAATTTTTGTTTACTTTTTTAGTGTCTCAATTATCACTACAATACACTCAAGTGATGATGACTGGGGAAATAAAAACATCAACGGAAATCCGACATGGAGATTTCTTCGGTCCACAACTTTTCGATCTAATAATGGATGAAGTAATAAACCTGGTTTTTAACAGAGGGGGGATAAACCCCCACAACGGTTGAAGCAAAATAGTATGTTATGTCGACGAAAACCTGATTATAGCGGAGAATGAGGCCGACCTACAACGGCTTCTACACTCATTTTATGTAAACACAAAACCTTTAACATGCTGGTATTGACCTGAGAAACCAAAGCCCTTTAATTTTCAAAGAAGCAATGAGATTTCCTTGAAACTTCCTAGGAAAATAAAACAGCCGTTTTATGTCGTCAAAGTCATGTCGTTCGGATAGCTATATATACAAATTGCTTCAACCCAAAGTAGAACAAATGAAGAAAAAGAACAAGCCCATGTTATTGTTATCTTTGGGACATTATCTGAAACCACACCAGTATGAGCAACAATGACCATGCAACATACAAAACCTGTGTTAGACCCATACTAACGTACGCTATATAAACAAGAGCTGACAACAACAGAATAAAAACACATCCTACGAACAGCAAAAATGAAAATACTCGGGAATATCTCAAGGAACAAACTAAGAGACAGAAACAGAAACACAGAAATAAGACACGAATATGAAGAGGAAGACATCATCAGATGGGGACGCAAACGTAGGAAAGGAGTGGAAGAGCCGCCTGGACAGGACGACAGAGGGAAGACAGGCAAGAATTGCTAGAGATGGAAGAGCATGGACAAGAGGCCCCCCTGGAAGACCTCCAAAGAGAGTTCAAGTTGGAAAATATAGGCCTCAGGCCCACAATAAGAGGAAGAACAAGAAGTTAAGTGACACTAGAAAGTCCCATTATCCGATTATGTAATTATTTGGCTCTACTACAAATTTTTAGTTGATGAGTTAAGATCCTAGTTGCAGATATACCTAATAAGCATTATAGAAAATATTTTCTCAAATGTTGGCCATGCCAAAATTTTTAGATAACTTGAAAGCATTTATAACAAAGTTGGCTTTAATCCAAGACGAGATAAATGTGCACATGTTAAACTTTCAAAATATAGCAAATTAGTGAAAGCACAGTTTAAAAAAATCATCTAACTCACCTGTAGTTCCTGGGCACCTGGCACTACGAATTCCGGATCTTCAGGAGATTTTAATAAACCGAAACTATCAGGTACTTCCGACGATTCGGGGTCATCCACTGAGTCTGCTTTGGTAATCGGTACTACTCGTTCTCTAGGAGATTGTTGATCTATAATCGCACGTGTCCCATCTAAAGGTTGAACTAGTAAAGTTCCATGGGTCACAGTTTCTTCAAATGTATACGTAGTGGGTGTTATAAGTTCCTTTCTAACAGGTTGTGTTGAACTAGACCGTGGATCGTAAATATGGAATTTCTGAAGTTGGGAATTATCGGAAGTGCGCATTTGACGCTGTTGAGCTTGTTCGTTTTTTCGGAGATCTTCTTGCTCTCCTAAGGACTGATCACGATCTATTGATATTGGCTTGTTCTCATAAATGTTTTGTTTTTGATCTCGGGTCCTCATAGGGGCATTTTCTGTTGCTGCTGACCTTCTCGGAAATAGTACTTTATCTGTAGGTTCTTCAGATATTTCCTCACATGCGAAGTCCGGTGGCAATGGTTCCGTCTGGGTACTGACCGTATCTTCTGGGATATTGGTCCTAGAAGTTATGTCCTGAAAAAAAATATAAGATATAACTTAACGAATAATGTTGGAAACTTTAAGAATAGACTGTTCTCCAATTAAAAATTTCTAGCTAAACCGGAAAAATTCTGAATTTCTTGTGATTTTTCAAGTTTTTATAAAATTGACAAGATTTTGTATTTTTTTTCTAATGAACACGTCGATCTTAAGGACTTTTCGAATTGCAGGCGTCTTCCTCTGACATTTAAAGTTACGAACGAAATGAATGTAATTATTAATTTTTAATTTGGACAAAAAATGCTACCAGGATTCCATTCTAAAGTAACTATTTTTTTGGACATTATTAGGAATTGTAATTAAAATAAGCTCTGAATCGGAAAGCTAATTTTTTATTTCGGTGCAGTCAGGAAACACAAAATCCTAACTAGGTAATCATTCGCTCATTTACGATAAGCGGACAATAATGCCTCAAATAGACATGCAAAAAATCGCGAAACATTCTGGGATATTTTGGGAATCTGCAGGAAAAGAGCCGATAAGGACCAGATACAGATTCAAATTTCAAGTTAAGGATATCGATTGAAACCCCATATGTTTAATGCTGTTTCACCTATTTTAATCATTTCAATGTCAACTTCCTTGTCTTCTGGGGTTTCAATGTTTTTCTCTGGTCTCTGTTATCGTTCATTTGTTGTTCAGGTCAAAATAAAATTCTCACAATTCTGAAGATTTGATTGATATTTGTTTGCATATTTGTTTCTTATCATCTCTTTTTCCTCCCCTTGTTCCCTTTTATTACCTTTTATTACCTTCGTTGGTTCTATAGAGGATATTTTCGAGTTATGGAGCAAAAACTCTTAAGGAGTGTTCAGGGCATGAATTGCAGATTTCAGAGAAGGACGCATGTCCCGAAAAGTCTCCTTAAAGAACTTATAACTCTTTAAGACTTTTGCACAAAATCATGTTTTATTGAGTTTCACACATTTGCTCGTATTGGTAATACATGCTATTTTTTCTACTTATATTTTCTAATAATTATTTGTTTTTAATTTAATTATCGATAAACTATCTGCAAACTCTGCTTTAGGGGCTATCTATCTATCTTTAGGGGCAATCTATCTTTAACCTTTACTAACTTTAGCCTCAGTTGAAAGTTTGAGGATTTTTCTGAAACCAGTCTGGTTGAGTGAAGAGTTTCTGGATAAATGTGCCTGAAGACAGATTTGCTTCATGCTCCAGGTTGGGCTTAAACACATTTCAAAATGGCCCAGGATGAAAACTTTAATCAGGTTGAATTGAAAATTTAACTTTTGCTGGAAAATTAGTCTGCAGCCCGTTTAGATTGAACTTTTATCAATCTGTAGCCAATGATTTTGGTTAGAAATTTACTGAATTTATGTATGCTCCAGTTTCAACGTAACATTTTTTTGAAAATGAAAAAAATATAAAGTTTTGTCAAGCTCAACTGTAATTGAATGAATTCTTCCAAAATCATTCTGCAGTCTGTCGATAGAAATATTTACATTTGGGGCTCTTGGAGCGCCCCATCATGTTAATCACTGGACAAAATTTCAAGTGTTCAGTCGTCCAGTCGAGATAGAAACTTGGGACACTTGCAGCCCTATTTCGTTTGTATAACCGGACAACATTTCAAATGTCTAGCGGATCCAGTTTAGCCCTGAAGAAGTTTTGAAGACGACCCATTTGGAAGGTTTTGCACAGGCTTCACTTTAGGTTTGTTAATTCCTGCACAATCATTCTGCAGGCCGTTTAGTTACAAACTTGAGGCACTTGCAGCCCCATGCCGGTTTTATAGCTGGGCAAATTTTCAAGTGTCTGGCCGGTCCAGTTTAGAGTTGAAAAGTTTTCAAAACGACCCATCTGGAAAGTTTTTATCAGGCTCGACTATAGGCTTGATAGTTCTTGTATAATCATTCTGTAGATTGTTTGCTGTAGAACGTGACATAATTTCAAGTCTCTAGTCGCTCCGGTTTGCATGTAACGAATTTTTACAAAATATCCATCTGGAAAGTTTTGATCAGACTCGACTGTAGATTTGTTAATTCCTGTACAATCATTTTGCAGGTAGTTTAGTTACAAACTTGGGACTCTTGMAGCCCTATGTCGGTTTTATAACTCTATTCCTATAACGGAAAAAATTTCAAATTTYATACGACTATCCGCTCCAGGTCCACTGTAGGTATGTTAATTCCTGCACAACCATTTTGCTGGKCGCTTAGATATAAACTTCGCACACTTGCAGTCCCCTCTTCTGTTTATAACTTCACAAGTTTTCAAAGATCCAGTGGCTCTAGTGTGGACGTGAGRAATTTTGAAAAAGACTAATATCTAAATTTTAGTCAGGTCAGGTCAGATGGAGTATATCCGGTGACTTCGTTATACAAATTTTCCGATAGAACGTGCATTGCGTTCTCCTCAAACGCCTAATACGCCATCAACCGTGAATCACCCTGTATATCAAATGCAAATAAGTGGCAGGGCTCCAGAACTCGATGAATTTACTAATCAATCAACGAATCAAATAACTTTTGATCTAATTGATGTATCGTCGAGATTTTTTCTTAAATTAATCTTCAGTATTCAGGAATATTGAAAAAATATTAAATAAGACCCTCTAAAGATCGGAATTTCGGTATAATACATCGTATTACGTACTCAAGGATAATCTAGTACATCGTTTGTTTATAAATTACAACAATTCAATATTCAATAAGATAAAGTAAGTCTGGTTAAATATTTGCAAAATTCATTAAATTTCGACAATTTACCCTGCTCTTTAATTGGCCTTATATTAATATTTTTCCAAATTACCTGATTAATTAAGCTTTATTTCAAAAAAAATCGCTACGAGTCATTGATTAGATCAAAAGTTATTTGATTTGAAATCAAGAAATACCAAAATGTCTCAGTATGCGCCAGCGCCAAGGCAAGCGTACTCCAGTGGGAGATTGATACAATTGTATCGAGAGATGGCTGTATGATATAGTTGGGGCTAAAACCTATGATTTTCTATTTGACGAATACCGAAATCTCAAGATTTCTAAAGAACAGGTATTGATTGAGCGTATGGCTCTAAGGCCCGGTTCCACCATCTCCGATTAAAATGTTAATCATTGATTAAAACTATTTAATCAACACTTTGCGTTCTACTATAATTTTAACCACGATTATGGACACTTAATCAGTGGTTAACTTAATCACCTAAAATGGCTGGTTATTGACGATAATCACGATTAGTGTAGTGATATAACCTCAAACAATTTTAAGTAAACACATGTTGGATTTGTTTTATGGCGATGTTTTATCACCTTCTGATGAGAATAGTGACATTCATGTTGTTAGAAGACCCAAATATTTAATCCGCGAGTCAATTATTTTGAAATCATGGACACCTTGAGTTTTTTACGCTATTTCGCTTATCGAAAATCACTGTCCAAACATTACTGCTGGAAATCGAAATAGACCTGCAACACACTACAGAAAGTTATGATAAATGAATAATAGTAAAATTGCCACATGTTCATTAAATGGATTTTTTAGAACCAACACTATTCAACCCATGACACAACTTTTACTTGTGTTGAGGTATTATGCAATTGGATCGCATCTTATTGCTGCTGGAGACTTTTTTGGAGTAAGCAAAACTAGTCTGCATCAAATTGTACATCGATTAACTGCTGCAATAGCCACATTAGCTCGAAATGACTTTAAACTCCCATCTACAAAAAGAGAAATAAGTGCAGCACAAGTAATTTTTTATGCATTAGCTCGTTTTCCCAAACGTATTTCAGTGTTGGATTGTACTCATATTAAAGTACAATCCTTTGGGGGAGACAACGCAGAAGTATTTCTTAATAGAAAAGGATATTTCTGTATCAATGTTCAAGCGACATGTGATTTGAGGGACCGTTTTGAGAGAAAATTATTTCAGTTGATCTGTCAGTTGTTTGAATCAATCAGAACCGTGGATTCAAAGGAAATACGATCTTACCCGATGAGACTGATGATTATCTAACCGGAGTTAAAATGTTTGTTGTGGAACGCATGCCAATTTAATCATGATTAAAGTGGTGATTAAAAAATGATTGTGATTATTTAACCAATAATTTAATCATTTTTATCTCTTGGTGGCACCGGGCCTAAGGGCCGGTTCGGTTCTTTTTATCTCACCAGTGCAGAAACCATGTACTTCGAATGGTTCAACACAGAGTTCCAACATCGCTACAGGCGAGCCAAAACCCTGGCTCGGAAATTTAGATGATAACTTTCTACTTTGGAGACGAAATGACTTTGTATATCACGTGAAGGCGATCAGTTCTGTTTGCCTATCAAGCTTTTTGTCTGCCTAGCAATCACAGTGTACAAGTAACATTTTGCTCAAATACATTGTGAAATGACATTTCTATATATTGAGAAAAAATACTAAGAAATGTAGCAGTAGACATATGTAGTATTTTTCCCAATATACAGGGTGATTAAAAATGGGCATCATTCCTTTTAAGGGGTGATGGAGGCTCACTTGGGGAGTACGAAAAAAATATTGAAATTTTTTTTTCGAAAATTTCTAGAAGATATTACCAGTTGAAGATCGAATTTTAACTTTGCTATTAAGCATTATTTTGAAATTGTTCCATGTTTAATTGGTATCATATTGGAATACTTAAGCATTCAAAAAGAAAAATTACGATCTTTGCTTCAAATTATGAAAATTTTCGATATTGAAAATGTTCTGTTCTACAATTTTTTGATGAAAAGGCACAGCGGCAATGTGGTTTTTTGCCATTAACAAATAGTTACAGGTGGATAGCCCTTTTCATTAATAACAATAATATGTCAAACTGTGACTTACTTTGAATTTTCTTTCACGAATTTGCGGATCTGCGATTAGTTCAGAGGAAATGCTATAGTAACATAGCAGAAGCTGAAAGGACTCACGCCAACAAAGGTCGAGGAGAGTGGTTTCAGGAAGATAGTGGACGACAATCGATGTTCGGGTTCCAAGCACAAAGGGACAAGTATTGGACATAATCGAATAAGTGCCTTCCAGGGGCACTCAGAGCACAACCACTAACACTTTCCCAAGCACCAAATAAATACCGAGGGTAATGACGCCAATTTTGAACCACCCTATCACATGTGTCACCGTAGGGAGATTTTAAAACTTCCCTATATTCAATTGTTTTCTCACGCATAAATTTAGTATTTAATATCAATTAACATAAATTTATTATAATTTTACTACTCTATGTTTTCATTACGATATCTAAATTTTCATGTATGTAAAGGTCGTTCCAATAAGGACAACGGATTTAAATTTTAAATAAAACTTTGCTGGCACAGACGTGCTCTTTTCATGAAATTTTCAAGGACCGTTGCGTATACATTTTGCGGAATTTCAGAGATACAGCCTTGAATTTCATATTTTAAGGCTTCAGTCGTTGTTGGGTTGTTCACGTAAACTTGTGAATTAAAAAAAATCCAAAGGTGTTAAATCGCATGGCCTGGGTGCAATGCCGATCTCCAAAACGAGAAATAACAGGACCAAGAAATGGCTCATGCTGTAATTCAATAAGTTTTCTGGCTGTAGGGCATGTTGCTGTTGAGATGATATTTTGCAATTTTGGCACAAAAAAGTTAGTTAACATTTCACCGTAACTAACACCACTCACGGTTAATGCTTGAGCAACTGCATGTTCGAAGAAAATGGTCCGATGATGCCTCTAGACCACAATGCACACCAAGCAGTAACTCTTTTTGGATGTACCTATCTGGAACGATCACCCGTGGATTGTCGGAACCCCAAATGAGACAATTTTGTCGATTAACCAAGCCATCGAGATGAAAAATCACCGTCCAATTGTCGTTGTTCCGAAATCCAATCAACAAAGGCTTTTCTTTGCCATGGTCTTGGGGCTTCAGCTCTTGAGCCAATGAAACTTTGAACCCATAAAGCTTCGAATGGTTTGTTAAGATTCGATGCATAGTGGTTGTGGAAACACCGATTTTCTGAGCTCTATGCCGAATTGATGTGGTTGGGCTTTCTTCAACATTTGCACGTACCGCTGCGCCATTTTCAGTCGAGCGACCAGGACAAACGGGGGTTTCCGTTTTCATTTCATTAACCGACCCAGTTTGCTGAAATTTATTCATTAATTTTCTTACAGTGGCTGCAGTTGGATCATTCCGATGGCCCTTAACTGTAAGTATTTTGCAAACTGAGGCTGCGAAACTTTCACCACTTTGATAATAATTTTTTGAAATGAGAAATCGTTGTTGCGTATTGAACCGCTCCATTTTACTTAACCTCCTGCTGTATACTATTAAACGGGCTTTTTTACCACACCATACGTGAATTTTACGTATATGGGGTATTTCGGGATTTATAAGCTTTATTTTGTGAAGTAAATATAATATAAATATGCACGGGGTTTATATTTGGTTGAGCAACTTTTGATGAACAACATATATCTGACACAGGTGCGAACTTAGATGCTGCTCTCTTTTCGGGTCTGGTTGAATGGCGTCAAATCTTAGAGCATTTAGGAAAAAGATAAACCTTGTTTTGCTCATAGTCGCACGATATCTGGAACCTGAGTACGATTCATTGAATATGAATTCAGCTGGGAGATGATTGTCCTTCAAGGCGGCAGATAGGATTAAAAGTCCAAGTACAGCTTTCAGTTCCCAAATTGAAGAAGTAGAAGCATTTTGTGTTGTATATTTTTGTTGCAAAACGATTATTTTTTCATTTGTATGAACCAGCATTTCAGACAGAACGTCATATTCAAAAAATAAAGACAATGTATCTAGTGGTTCAGAACAGTTCTTAGCTCTGCCAACTGGACCTGGTCTAATGTAAACGACGTTTGTTGCTGGTCTTTTGCCTTTCTCCAGTCTGGGCGGACGAGTAAACCACTTGTAACCATCTTTATCGAACAAAAATGTATCAAGACGCTCTTGATGAAAATTTGCCTCTTCCGAGTGTGAATCCTATGTCTCCTGAGTAAAGTTCTGATATAGATGGATTTGCATCTTTCGATAATTTTGCTTTCTTGTCGCTAATTTTTGTGGAAGGAGTTTTCAATTTTTCCACATCCAATCCCATTCCACACATTTCCTAGTTCCTCATTATATCAATTTGGCATGGAAGATAATTTTTATAAGCTATGCTACCATCGCTATCATAATCAGCATCTGTTTCTTGGAGAGCATTGTCATATGTTACGATAATATCACCAAAATCACTGGCTGCGAGAACGTTTTCCAAATCCTTGTCACCTAATGGCCTTTTTGAGCTTACGTCGATTTTTGTATTCATAATGTACCAAAAATACGTGTATGTAGAAATATAAAAAGAAACCCGAAAAAATTACACACCTTATTGCCAAGTATACATAAAAGCTACGTTCACTCTTTAATCACTAAGACCAAAAATACGTAAAATTTACGTGTATTCTTTTGTAAACTTGCTGCCCGTGTTCTTATTGGGACATCCTTTATATATATATATATATAAATAATCTTTATTTCCTACGGAAAAAGGCTATCGACCTAATCGGTCTTTCTGCCGATATATTTTTTATATTATATTTATGGCCAAAATTTGAATTTAAATATTCTAGCCTACAGGAATTTAACACGTTAAAATTCTTTAGTTAATTCTTTATGTAAACTGTTGCATTATAGAACAAATACTTACATAAAGGGATCGTCTATCGGGCTTTGGTTTTCGCGGTGGCCTAGGTGGAGCCGGTAGGGGCCTACGCTTCATTTTCTGAACGATTTCACCGGAAACCAAATCACGGGGTCCTTCTTCACTGCCAATCTCCATGTACTGGGCTATATCAATCTGAAATATAAAATTAATTAAAAATACTTTGTAATTTAAAGGAAAATAACATTACTATAAAGGAGGCGCAGAATGGGCACAAGGTAGACGTTCAATTTTGAATGGAATGAAATGTTCAGTAGCGTCACAATTCACATGTGAGATTGAATGCTTTTGCAGACAGGCTATAGGTAGGTCTTAATTGTTGATAATATGCGGCGGATACCTCGAGAATATTGTAAGCAACCTTGGAAATTGGAGGACCAGCAACACTGGAAGGCGGGATCAGAACGGGAGTGGCAACACCGTGGCTACTTCACAGCTGGGACATCGATGGCGCAGCGGTACTTCCGGGCAATGGCTGGGCGTTGTTCAGGAATGATTGGATAATTAGTGATCAATCACGGATCGATTGGGTGGAGATCGTGCAAGGGGTTTATTAAATTGCTTAATTTTGTATCGAGTGTATTCTTTTGCGAAAATTAACCCTAACAATATGTTTAGTAAGATCTCAGGTCCGTGTAGCGTGTGATTTTCTCGGCCTGAAGCACCTGTGCGATAAGTTTGCGTTTTACGATTTTTTCTATGCGTCTACTGAGTACCAGTCCCTCGCATAATTTCAGCTACGAGGTCTCTGTAGGTATAGCCACGTTGAGAAGAGCCCCAATTTTGAATGATATCAAGAGATGGAAATTTTGTGACTATGGGTGCAATACCCAGTTTTTTTTCTGTTCGATAGGCAAATTGTCTGCGACTGCGGTCTTTCATTTATTCCAAGCTTTTTATGACAGCGCTGCGTTCTTTTACAGTATTTCTATATTCCATTATGTTTAATTTATTTCCGTGTTATTGGTAAAACTTCGGGCAGAAATTTCCTGGTTTACTTTGTCTTCAGTAGTAACTGTTCAGTAAATCTGGCCAGGTTAAATGTTATTGACTTGTTTCCTGTTGTTTGTGTTCCTATCGAGTTTCTTTAGAAAAGCCTGTGCAACTTATTTCTGGCTGTCATATCAATTTTCCCTACTTTAAGTAAGAATCTTTGTTGTCTGGAATGATTTAATACTTAAATGACTGTTTGGTCAAATTAACGGGTAGTCTAACGACCAACAACAAGAGTTTGTGATACTCATTTACCTGTTTTCTAGATTACAAAAAGGGACCAAGAGTAAATTACAGCCTCCATAACATATGCAAAAAACTCTCGGCGCACAAATATGTAACATCCGAAATAGACACAAAACACACGGCCACCAAACGGAACAAAATCAATTTTTACAACTTACTGGACGCAGTTTTCAAACGACCTAAAAACACAGACAGACAAGGTAGATTGGGAATTGAGTGTTGACGAAGTTGCGATGACCATAGACGACATCTGCAAGAAATCTTGCAGAAAACCCATCATCAAGCAACATCAAAACAAGTTGTACAATCAGTCAAGACTCACCGACGTTTGAAATGCTGCTTAGATTGATAGATAGATCAGGAGTAAGTTGTTTAGTTGAAAAAATCGTTAGTTCTTTGCCAGTATGGGCACTAATATTTAGATCCAATTTACTTCGGAAATCCCGATAATTGAGTCTTTTCAACTTGAGAGCTTGAGAAATTTAACTATCGCCTGATAGAAGAGTAAGTGATTTGAGAACAGCATTTACGTTCTTTCCTATTCGTTTGTGCTTGCAACGAATACTATTTAAATACATTGACCTTTCACAATGTAACTAGTGCAACATATACAAGGAGTCCATGTGTCCAATGTTTAACAAAACCTCAAAGCAAATGATTATCTGCCTCTTTATTGAGTGATACCAAGTAAAAAGCACATTCGCTTAAATGACATATTCAGCTGTCTCCGCCGGTTACTTGTAATTCTTCTTGTGACCATGAGTATTTACGAAACAATATGCTTTTATTGACGATGATGAAAGTAGTTGGCCAAGATGTGGTAATGTTTCGTTCAGTCGTTTGTAATTATTTTCTAAACCACACTTTAGGTTTCTGCTGCTCCCTAACAAACATGTTTAGCAAAGTACATAAAACAAACATACCTCATTTTCCTTATTTTCAAACGGGGAATACTTCGGTGAGCTCCTAGCATTCCCCACTGTGCTGTAGTTCCTCAAGGGCCGTACTGGAGGTACTTGCGATTGAGTTCCTGGCAATGTGGCAAATTTATGTGGTGAACTCAACTGCAATAATCATTCGAAGATCATTAGCCAATAAATTTAAAATTTTTAATTATAAAAATGAGCACTTTTGAATGCAACATTGCTAAATAAATGTAAATGATGATGTGCTTACTTCACGCTTTGGTCGCCGTGGCAGAGTCCTTGGGGGCGGCAATGGAGGATCTCGTTGCTTCGACTTATCTACTATGGCGTAACCCATGTAGTCGCGTATATCCTGAATGCAAGGCTCTTCAATACATTCCCGATTACCTATTTCAGATGAATGTTTGTTAAATCGAGTTTTTCATTCTTTTGTTGCTTTAGTATGTCGGATGCATTAGTAGGTATTATTTTCAGTATTTGAAGCAGCTGGTGACTAAGTCATACGTTGCAAAACATAAAGAATCACAGCGATTAACTTTTTCTAATTTTATTAATTGCTCCGCTTCATAAGTTAATGGCATACAGAATTTAAGATATTGGTGCATGGTTTAAATCGGCAACGAAGGACAATTTCATTGCCGTTTCATTCTCATCAATCAATAATAATTAGTCGCCAAACATGGCGCTTAAAGAAGGATTTTCAACACTCGAGAATATGTTTAGAATCGTATATTTCATGCTACCAAGTTGATATTTTAATATTCAGTTAGTCGCTCAGGTAGATTGAAGCGGCATCAGCGGTTGAGGAAATGGAAGAACGCGTGTTCTGAACAGTTGCTATATTTATGGCTATGGTTTCCTTGGCAAGTGTGCAATTAGGACTTGAAAATTTGTGCAATGCAAACTATGCATTCCATCTAAACGAACTCAGTGCCAAACTACTTTAGGATGTTCATGGAATTTGAAATTGATGGCAACCAACAGATTAAAGCACTAATGCCAAAAAAAATTACGCAGCACGAAACTACTAAACTTTATTTCAAATTTCTTCATCCTTGAACTTGACTAATGTAAAAATTAAATTAGTCAATTAAATAATTCCCTGTGGTGCAGACAGTCAATGGCCGCTTTCACTCCAACATAACTCAAAGGCGCCGGCCGATTGAACCTATCAGAGTCGAGCTGCGGGTGCGTTTCTACGGAAACCAAACCGCTTGATCAAGCCAAATGCTCTGGGATTGACCATCTGCACCATTCAAACTCTAGTATTGTAGAATACGAAAACTTTTAAATATGGTGGGGTTTCTTGTAAATGAAACAAATGCAGACAAGTAGATACGCGATGTTGTTGCATAAATGCAGCGGCAAATTGACCCATCACAATCTAATATTAGATTTATTTATTAATATGTTCATGTATACATTATTTTTGTCTCGAAAACGCTACTAATAACATTCATAAAAAAATGCCTGCGTTTATAAATCAATGATGTTTGAACAAAATACGTTGGGTACAACTCGTTTTAACCTCCTGCACTCAACTGGCGTTTAAGCAATTATGGAAATAAAAATGTTTTTTCAGATCCTCTAAATGCTGATGTTCGTTCGCGCATCATTGTCGTTCTTCATACGTCTTATTCATTTATAAGGGCGGTACCAGGTGGGGGTCACTATGTTCATGACCCCCTCGTGCTGGATGTAGGTCGACTAACGAAAATTTTTCTAATTTCGTTGACAACAAAAGACTGAATTTCTACTTTATAACCCGCAACCTGACTTGAAAGCTGGATCCACCGTTGCTCAATAGATGATATTCAAATTTCCCTTTCTAGGTCAAAGCTATTAAAATTTTCTCATTCATGTTGTCATGAGTAAATCTAGTTTTCAATTCTCTATCCAACGATGCCAAAACGAATTATGTGGCTCAAATGTTTCTTGATAAACTTCAAAAAAATTTTCGAGTCGATTTTGCAGCTCACGAATATAACACGCAAATCTTAAACTTTTTACTTTTTTAACAAAAAATCAAGATTTTTTAAAGAAAACTGCAACCATTTCCCTATAGATAGACCACTTTCCAAAAAGGGCTATATAGTTCTCTTTCGAATGATGTAAAAATGAGCGTTAGTGCTCCATTTACTTCCGAGAAATGAGAAAAATCGGGAAAAACGTGGCTTTTGTATATAAACCTGCACCTGTGTCTGATATTCAAATTGCGCTTTCAGGATCAAAACTACTCAAGTTTCCTCATCCATGTTGTTATGGCAACATTTTTAATTCTTTATCCAACGATGCCACAACAAATTCTGTGGCTCAAATGGTTCGTGAGAAACTTCGAATCAGGGTCATGTTTGAGTCGGTTTTGCAACTCAAAAAACACGCAAAACTAAAACTTCTTGAAATCAAGACTTTGTTGAGAAAGCTACCAACATTTTGATGGCAATGATTCACTTTCTAATAAGGCCATTTAGTTATCTTTCATCTTGAATAATGAATCTTGAATCCTATAATTTCATGTTTTTCGTCCCGCTTTTGCGCATTTCTCGGAAGACAAATTAGCAAAAACGGGACAGAAAACATGATATTTTGGCATAATCTTGCACCAAAAATATTCAAATTTCACTTTCTGAGTCAAATCTACGGGAATTTCCTTATCCATGTTGTTATGACTGCATCGAATTTTCAAAGAGTGTTTTTTACTTTCAAAGATTTATCAGGGTCTAGATTGAATAGAAGGGGGACAAAACACAACCCTGTATTATACCTTTCTCTACTGGGAAGTTCTGTGTAGTTTCATTCCCCACATTCACCGATGTTGTTTGATTTATGCAAATGTTCTTAATGAATCTCAAGTCGTTCTGATCTATCATTCTACATTGCTTCGTAGAAGGCGTTCGAGACAGTCAAACGCCTTCTATTACTGTTAAGTAAAAGAGTGCGTTACGTGCGCCGAAGCCTTGTCTGAATCCAAACCCTGTGGCACCAATGTATCTTTGACATCTGTTGTAAATCCTTGTATGTGTAACTTCAAGAAGAGTTAATTGCTTTTAGGACTACTTCTGATGACTAGTCGTCTGCAAAGGTTCGCTGGTTATTCTCTGCGTAAAGTTGTTGAGTATCGGTTTTCCAATGATGGAGAAATTTCTTGGGGTGATGATTTTCATGATTTTCAACGATGATGGTTTTGTCCTCCACAATATTGCTCAGGTTACAAGATTCTATACGACCTGTAACTTGTTTTAGTAATTTATGTGTTGAAGTGGTCATGCTTCTGTTCCAGTTCTTCAACTTCTGTGCATCTATCCGGTAACCCCTGTTTAATGGCTGGATCTTTACGAATTTTGTTTTCGCTTCTGTGATATTCGATCTCGTATTTATTTTTAAATGGTCTTAGTTTATCCATAAACGACAATATTTGCTCCACTTCTTCTTGTTACTTGATGGGATAATTTTCTTGTCTGTGATCATTACGATATAATTCTTGAAGTTGTTCCAGGTATCTTCTAGGTTTTCCGGCTGCTGGTTCACGGGCATGATTTCAGTGATTGCATCGTTTATTTTTTATTTGACTTTCATCTGTACTATAGGTTTTTTTAAGTCGCTTAAATGGGTGATCAGACCCGATATCGGTCCCAGGATCGGTTCTAACTCCATGCAATCTATTTCTGGTCCTTTGGTTGATCAACATATAGTCCATTTGGTTTCTTACCAAGGAATCATCCGAGTGTTGTGGACAATGCCAGGTGCAGAGTCTTCTTGGTGGAATTTGGAACGTAGCAGAATAGAGCAGCATTATTTGGTCGCATTTATTTTATGGGTTATCAATACTAAGAATATTTATCGATGATCCACGATCTTCTGTCTTTGTGTCTTTCAGCAGTAAATATGTTATTTTAGATATTGCGTTAAAATATAGATATTTTTGTAATAGTAGCAGCAATGAAGACTGAGCCAGCAACTTATTTATTATAGTTCATATGTGAAAAACCCCAATTTATTTTTAGGCTGGAAACAGTTTTTCGGACTTTTATCCAACCATAAGTTTAATGGGCACTGTTTTATTCAAATAGCTACTCTGGAAAACCACTGATGAGATAAGATAAACGATAAAAGATGAAAAAGAAAAACTTCTTGAGTTCATCTGTTTCACTGAAACGATTCCTATATCACAACTCTATCTATTAAGGTTATGAATTTTTGAAAAACTGAGAAGGAAAATTATTCTTCTTTATTCAGTCATACTTTTTTTTCAATTAACTGTAGTATATATAGAGCCTTATATTGCTCCACGTTCCTATGATTAAGTCAATGCTGCTTTCAAGCAAAAAAGTTGAAAAATATGGTTGTGATTAGTAAGCAAGTATTGGACGTTATTGGTTTATAGATAATTACTGTTATTTTGATGGGTTTCGGTCAAGAATGCTGTATCGGCCAATATGCTGTCGCTCCTCCTACTCGGTCTCCTTGGCGGCCCCGCATTTGCGTGATACTCTAAGATGCTGCCATCAGTCTCCAACAGTGATTCCGTTTCCGACTGATTTAAACTTCTCAAACTTTTGTGCTTCCGTGCTGGCACGTCAGGCGTTCTATTATTGCTGCCACGATTTTCTTGAACCTTTAAAAATATATTCAATCGAAAAAGGAAATTAGTATTCCTAACTGTTATATGTTATGTATCCATCGCAATGGGTTGGAGACACACAGAAATATAGACAGGTTAGGTTAGGCTCGCGGGCAGCGATGAATGGCAGTTTTTGATGTAACCAGTGACTAGTTTTTAGTGTTGAGTTAATAAAGCAGTTCTGTACGGTTGATGATTCCGTGTGGGGTATTCCAATTACCGAACATAATACTAACATGGTCAATCTTTTTTTATAAGCCTGTAAAACAGTGGTTATAAACAAATATTTTAAATCTTACTAAATAGCTTCTGCTACTAGGGGAATAGTTTTTAGTAAAATATAGCCCTACATGATATTAAGCTTTGCTTGTGTGTGCAACGAACAGTTAAAATCGTTAAGTTATTAACGATAACAACAGTTACATATAAGTAAACTGTACTTGGAAGTGTGTTTATACATACCTCCATACAGAAAATGGTTCATTTCCATAGAAAAAGAAAAGCTAATTTTCATACGGTCTAAGAGATGAAAGTCCCTCGGCTTAGCCTCGGGCCGCAACTTATGGCCATGGCTGGCCATGGACTTTCGTCTCGCATACCGTATATTATTTTTCTTGATTCTCGGCGGAAAAAAGAAAACTGTCAGAAGCGTGCGTGGCGAAAGTTACTACTTTCCATACAGGATGAAGACATGTCAGTTGAATAACGGGAGAAAAAGTGAATGGTCATTCGCAAGTAATTGCAAGGGGTAAATGTGATTCTTTCGCAGTCGAAAACAATGACTAAACTACATGTTTTCCACCAGGGGATCAAGTAGAAAATATTTTTTAATAATATAATGTTTTACCTCGAATGATCTGCTTTTAAAATCTTCATTATCTTCTTCATCGTCCCCTAAAATGCCCAAACTTTCTCTCGGGAAGTCCAACCTGCATGTGTTAAATAGTGTCAGTTAAAGAAGTTGTCTATAAAGAGACAGGAAATTATTATATTGAAAGTAGTCACCTTCTGCCCTGCAGTGGTATAGTTTCCTGGTACGGCACCACTTCCGCCTTTTCTGCTTTATTTCTCCCTTTGGCGCTTCGTCGTTTAGGACGAGGTGGTAAAATGGTTTCATCTATGGACTCTTCGTCTCCCTAGAAATGACGAATCATGTTTGTATGCAACTAACATATCTAATGTTTAGGCAGAACGTCTTGTAAGGGTTCGTATCCTAAAGTAGTTTATCTTTTTGGGCAGTTGTACTGACTTCTTGCAGTTGGAAATCTATCTTCTTTTTCCTGGCTTTGTAACCGTGGCGGGTGGGAATCGCTTGTCAGGGATAGTACAACTGTTTGATCTCTGCTTATCCACTAAGGAGATACTTTCAGTGGAACAACAAATTCTACGAACAGACGGATGGTCAACTAATGTAGGCAAATATTTGAAAATAACGCACTGGGCCAAAGCACCAAAGTGCTGGTTTTGCTACATTGATGACACCTTCGTAGTTTGGAGCCAGACCCAGATCATACTTCCTCAGACATCCGAAGTTAGTGAACCAAAAAATCCGGGATTCCAGTATACTATGGAAGTGGACAACGATCACCGACTACCTTTTCGTAGCTACCAGTAACCAGAAAATCGCAAGTAAAATTATCCTACGAAGTGAAAACGTCCCTGACGACGTATGGCAACGCCATAATAAAAGCAAAAAGGAGGAAAGAATGCAAAGATATCGACTACGCTAGACTCTATAAGACACTTTCAAAAGAACCACAGCAAAAAGTGGGCTCCCTGATAAAATCAGAGGGGGGACATACATCAATAGAAAAGGAGATCCTAGAGCTTATGCTTAAGACTCACTTTCCTGGATATAATACTGGTAACAGTCGAAGAACAGGAGGTACCGATGGTTTCAGGGCGCGACAGCGGACACCGAAAGAACATTGGACTCTTACTACAAGCATGGTAACCCAGTCCAAAGTCAAATGGGCCATAAGTTCTTTCAGGCTATTTAAATCACCGCGAACAGATGGCTTGATGCCCGTTCTGCTACAGCAGGGAGCCGATTTACTGGTGCCCCTTTTGTGCAAGATGCTCCGGACCAGCCTGTCTCTGGCATACATACCAATGAAATGGAGAATGGCGAAAACCAGGGCGGGCTACGTACGCCTAGGCCAAATCCTTTCGCCCGATAATCCTAACATCTCTCTTACTTAGAATATCCCCGCGCTAAACGTATCTTCAAAAGCCATGATACAATGAACATTTTTTGCATCATGATTCTACCTTGTATTCATTGTATCATGTTCAAAAGCTATAATGTCAGTTTCAATTCTTTTTCAAGGGGGATGTTCTGTGACCGTTTCCGAAGCTAAGATGGGATCTGTTTTCTCATTTGACAACTCGATTATTATATTTTAATTTTATATAAATTAATTGATGCGGGGCGCCGCTAGATGGTGCCCCTGTTATATCTATCCGAGTGAAGGCGAACACTGTGGTACATAACAGTAACAAAAAATTTTTGAGAATACTTAAAACACTGGAAAAGCTGATCGACATGCGTATCAGGGAAGAGGTTCTTACCACAAATCATCTGCACCACAACCAATATGCCTACCAAACGGCAAAATCCTGCGAATCTGCTATCCACGTGCAGAGGGCAGAAATCTCGTTAGAGCGCAAAGAAATTGATCTGGCGGCTTGTCTGGACATAGAGGAAACCTTTGACAAAACCTCTTTTAAGTCAATAGCCAAAGCGGTGAAAAATCGTGGAGTGCATCCTTAAATATGTGAATAAATCCAAATGGATATGCGGATGATATCGCCATTGTTGTGCAGGAAAAGTTTGGAGACATTGTGTCATCACTGATGCAACAGGCGCTAAACATCACCGAACAATGGTGTAACACGGAAGGGCTGAAAATTAGCACATCTAAAACATCTATTATGGCTTTCACAAGGAAAATAAATCTTAGAGCCCTTAGACTAATTTCTATATATGAAAACGTAATACATATGTCCGACACTGTTAAATATCTTGGGGTATCCGTGGAGAAAAAATTGCTGTTTAAAGAACCTGAGGAACAGAAACCAAACAAAGCAATCAGGGCTTTATGGACCTGCAAATACACTTTTGCGAAAACATGGAAAATCTTACCGAAGATGGCGTACTAGACGTACGTCACCTTTGTGAAACCCATAATCACATATGCCGCCGTAATATGGTGGCATAAAATCAAAATCAGTACATATCGACAGTCTCTGAACAAAGTTCAGAGGCTGACCTTTGCATGATCGAAATCAGGCAAGCTGATCGAATGAACTCTAAGCATTTCGGCTCCTTTCAGAACATATTTTCTAAATGAGGTTCGAGATGGTGGAGCGACTCCATCAGCTATCACTACTACTCCGTATGGTATACCGAAGGCACAAAAACAGCGTCGGGCACAGGCGCTGGTATAGTCGAAAGCGGAAGAACTGGGGAAAGGATTACCTTAAACCTGGGTACAATCAAGACTGCCATCCTTCGGAAGATGAGAGAAAGAGCATACACCCGTAAGAACATTACCATCATAACCGGAGATGAAGCCACAATAAAGGCACTTAAATCGTAGACAATCAGGTCACAATGTGTGCTAGATTGTGTAAAAAAACTGACGACCCTGGCTGGGAGGTTAAACAGAGTAAAACTCACTTGGGCAACTGTGACAAACAGGAGCGAAGGAAACAAGATTACTGCGAAACTTGCTAAGGCAGGGGAGTTGGGCAGTGGATCTTGGAACAATATTGAAAGTACTGGGAGGAGACACCGCGACTCCTTACCGCAAGGCAGTTGGTGAGACCTCCACAACCGGTGCGTAAAAATGAACTGCCAGATCTCAGAAGGCAAAAAATAAGGAGGTAGTGGGCATTTTAAAAGGACACGCCCCCTGTAAAACACACCTCTTTAGTGCAAGTGCAAGTCATATGCAACGGGTAGACGAACACTCCTGGGAGGGCATGAAGTTCTACCAGACCAGGTCATGCGTATCTGCCTCAAAATTCTTCTGGAATTTATTGAATACAGAAGAATAATGAGGGAGTAAAATACGAGGGCACAATAGAACAGAAATGACCGCGGTGCAAGGCCGAACACCACCTCGGCGGTGAGGAAAGGGTTTTAAGGCTAAACAGCTAAGCTGGAGTTCCGCACAGCTCAGAGTGACAGATCACCAGCTCTGGGTGTGCGTAACAGAGCATTATCCAAACATCACCAAAAAAAAATTCTGCGCATTGCGGATTTGGAAACCATTGGATAAGGTTTTGGAAATTCCGTGATGGTGGGACGCTGAAACACCATGAAAGGCCTCTCTGTTTTAATGAAACCAGCAGACTCGATGTCAACGGAACAATGTGCTCAAAAAACAGTGGCAGTAGTCCTGAAGACACTACGGACGAACAAACTGGGTGGGTTTGTCCATACATCCATACTGCTGAAAAGATAGAAGGGGTTCTGGAAAAAGACAATATCCGAACCGTCTTTTTTCCTATTCGTACAACGCAACATATTCTCACATCGGCCAATTACTAGCTGGATTCTCTATCAGCATCAGAAGTTTACAGACAGAGTTTACTGCAATTGTGGTGTACATATCGGCTTCCGAAATACATAGGAAAATATCACATTTTCGGTTTTTTTTTCATAGTTCCCCAAATTAATTGACTATTATTTACAACTACGTGATTTTAAATTAATTTTCCATGAAGAAGATGCCAATGTAAAACGCCCGACAAATTTTAATTTCCAAAACCCATCGAGGAATATAATGTAATGTAATGTAATAAAGGTAAAGAAGCTCATATAAATTGGCCTCCTAGATCTCCCGATCTAAATATACTTGATTTTTACTTCTGGGGACATTTAAACAATAGGGTATATTCAACAGAATTGAATCCAATCGAAGAACGTCAGGAAATAGTACTTAATATTTCTATAGTACTTAATATTTCCAACGAAATAAGAACTTTAGTGCAAACTGCACGGTCTGTAAATTTTAATTTCATTAAAAGACCGCAATTATGCAAAAAATGTCAAGTTGGCCAATTTGAACCGCTGCTAAGTTAAAATTAGAATTGTTAATTAATTGTGCTTGTTTACATGGTTGCGCATATTGATACTATGCTATTATTTAAGTAAAATTTATTAAAACTTACTAATTGTAATCTGAACCAAAATACACAATATCGAAAAATAATTTTGGTTGTTTGTAATTAACTAATAGGGAGTTTTTAGGCCCCTTAATTGCTACACGTTTTACGTTATCCGTTATTCTGAGCATGCGCATTAGTAAATAAATAACCGTTTACAATATTAGAGGATAACGTGTTCCTTTATTTATGTACGAGTAGCGGTAACGATAATAAGCATAACGTTAAAAAGCAAAAGCAGTTCCTTCTGAAACCCAAAATTGATAAGGCAATTGCTGGTCTCAATATTTTCTAAATGAAAAATATCTCTTCGGTTTGCAACAACTGAACCACAAAACACACACTCACATAAAATGGTACTCAATTAGCTTATAATGTATACCTAAATTGAAGTTTATATGCTTGCCCGGTTTAAAGAAACTAATATTTTCAAAACAACAAAAACTAATATTTTCCGCCATTTTGGAAATTAGATATATCAACAATGAGACCTTAAACTCTCTCCCTCTAAAATTACTAGAAGAACACGCTGATAAGATATTTTTACATATTTACGGAACATCAAAGAATCACTTTTTACTCGAGTAATTTTTTCGGATCCTCTTTATTTGTCATGAAATGTGAAACTTAAGTGCTGAACAACAGCTTTCAAGACAGGCTAGTTTTTTACTTTTTGGGACAGGCCTTTGGCAAAAGATCTAAGACTGATCGAACATTTTCAACCATTTTGGAGTTTTGACGCTTTGCAACTTAGTCGATCGTCGTTAATTTTTATACCAACAAAGATATTCTAAGTTATTGTCTTTCAAAAATACAATATTTTCATTCCGAATCGAACAAAACATTTGTTCAGCCAATTGGTACTAGGCATGGGTAACACTGTGTTGAGTTGCGCTTTAGAGTTGTCGCTCTGTGCGCTGATGAGTTAACGTGTAACTGCGCCGCATGTGAAATTAGGTTTCGCATTTAAAAGGCATCGGATTAATTTACATCCTCGATGGGGTCTCTGTTCTGTAGTACTGCGAATGTTCTTGGGATATTGCTATATGCAACAGCTATGAGCTACTATGTAGAAATTTCAGCACATGATTGGAATCAAAATAAGACTTAATTGGTAAGTTTTCTCGCACTATGTAAAAATATAAATAATCGGGAAATATAAATATAACATACGTGTATTTCTTCTCGAGACACATGTGGAGTTTTGTTTCGTTTCGGCTTTTTCATTGGAGGCTTGCGACGTTCCTTTCCAGGCATTTGCTGCAAGCATTGATTTGATCCGATTGGATCGTATTCGTTCATTTGAGCTAAAGCATTGGCAGGAGTTTGAAATCCTTCGCGGATTTCGTGCACCACGAAAAACTCGTCAGAATCAATATCCAGTTTTCCTGAAAAAAAAACTGAAAATGAAGGCGTTTATTCGAATAAAGCTGGTATTAATGCAATAATAATATGAAAACATGTTGAGTTGACGGGCTGATCGGCATGTGCTTAAACTTCTAGGGGCATCAAACCCTACATTGTCACCAATTTCATTAAACGTCGCAGAAATCAGATAGAATATCGAAAACAAAGACGAGACAGCAAAGCTACAAAATGAATCAGTGAAAATTAAAACGTGGAGATGGTCTACAAAGTACACTTTTAAGTAGTCGGGATGGTTAAAACCTAATGAACATATGTAAGGTCATCAAAAGTGTTTGTGTTCTGAATTTCACCTTACTAAGTCTTTTTTGGTACGTTTACGTTTTAATTGGTTAAGGAATACAAAGGTCGCAAATGAAAATTGGCAAAACAAATTCATTTAACGTTCTCAAATTAAACTTGAAGCACCAGGATACTGCCAAAACTTTAACTTTAAATGCAGATTGTAGAAAACAAGACTTTTCAAGCTCTATTAACAATTTTTATATTTAAACTCACCTAGTAGACCTTTTTGTCCTAAACTCTCGCTTCCTTCACTCCAATACCCGTCTTTGGATCCGCCTAACTGCTCTTCCTCCAAATTATCAAGGTCTGTTACCAATTGATTATTTCGTCGATTTTCCAATACGAATTCTTCCTCTTTATTATCGTCTGAATCATTGTCGACATACCTGAGGTTTTCGTCATTTTCCCGTAGTCGATTGTCTAAGTTTTCAGATCTGAACCTGAAAATGTTCTACGTTAAACCTATTTCAACTCATATAAATGCGTGGCAGTATACACAAAGTGATTCAAAAATCGAGTACTTTTTGGAAGAGATTGCCAAGTCTTACTCGAAGAATATTGAATGTTAACTTTTTTATCGTCAAATATATGCAGGGTTGCAACACAATTTTAAAAGTAGGTTTTCTGGAGAACGGCTCATTTTAGAGAGATGTGGCAAGCAAACCTTTTTTGCGTAATTTTGGACACTCGTTAATTTTTGGAAATCATCCACAACAAAAAGCGAAAAATAAAAGTATAGGTTATTAAGTAGATGAAATGGGTAAGTTCAACCCTTTAGCATTGTCGGATCGGAGAGTGTTTAATACCGAAGTTGTGCCAACCCCTTCGGGCGCGACACCGGCTTGGACGCAAAAACAATTTCAACTTATCCATTGATCAGTTTTTGGGGCAAACTCAGTGAGTGTCGTGTCCGAAAAGCTCGGCACCACAAACTAATTAGAATGTTCAATGTCGAGCTGGGCATAATTCCTTCCGGGACGACACTGGCTTGGGCGCAAAAACACGCTCAACTTGTTCATTGATCGATTTTGGCGAGAAATCAGTGCCGCGCTCGAAACGTTCTTGGCGTGTTCAATGTCGAAGTTGTGCGAATCCCTTCGGGCACGACACTGGTTTGGACGCAAAAACACTATCAACTTTTCCAATGATTAGTTTTGAGCGTACAATTCGTGTCTTGGCGAAAATTGGCGGCACAACAAATGCATTGGAAAGTGTTTAATCGGACACGACACTGGTATGAACGGCAAAACACTCTCATCTTGTCGTTCAATTAGTGTTTGGCGCTAACTCAGGGTCGTGTGCGAAATTATTGACACAACAAACGCATTAGAGCGTATTTATGTCGAAGTTGCGCCAAACCCTTCGGACCCGACACTGGTTTGGACTCAAAACACTATCAAATTGTAGCTTGTTCATTTTTTTGCACAAAATCAGTGTCGGGCTCAAAGGGCTCGAAACAACACACACAAATTAGAGAGTGTTTAATGTCAAAGTTGTGCCAAACTCTTCGGGCCCGCCACTGATTTCGACGCAACGAACTATCAACTTGTCGATTGATGATTTCTTGATGCAAAATCTCTGTCGTTCCCGAAGAACTCGGCGCAACAAAGGAATTAGTGTTTGATGTCGGGGTTATGCCGAATCGTTCTGGCACGACACTGGTTTGGACGCAAAACTCTCAACTTCAGACTGATCCGTTTTTGGTGCAAAATTAGGGTCGTGTGCAAAGGGGTCGGCAGAACAAACGCATTGGAGAGCGTTTAATGCCGAAGTTATAACAATAACTTCAGGTGCGACACTGCCTTGGATGTAAAACCATCTCAACTTGTTCATTAATTAGTGTTTGCCGCAAAATCGATGCCGTGCCGAAATTGATCGGCACAAGAAACGCATTAGAGTGTGTTTAATGTCGAAGTTGTGCCGATCCCTGCGGGCACGACACTGGTTGGAACGCAGGAACACTCTTTCTTTAATAACAACTTGTTTGTTGTGCCGAGTATTTTGGCCACGATACTGATTTTGCGCCAAAAAGTGATCAAGGGACAAGTTGATAGTGTTTTTGGGTCCAAACCAGTGTTTTGCCCGAAGGATTCTGCACAACGTCTACATTAAACACTCTCTAATGCGTTTKATGTCYCGAGCCCTGACACTGATTTTGGGCTAAGAACCAATTCCTCCACAAGTTGAGAGTGTGTTCGAGTCCACACCAGTGTTGTGCCCAAAGGTTTAAGCACAACTTCGACATTAAACACTCTAATGCGTTTGTTGTGTCCTGAGCATTTCGGGCCCGACACTGATTTTKSGCYRAAAACYRATYMMTYYACAAGTTGTGAGTGTGTTTGCGTCYAAACCAGTGTYGTGCCCGAAGGGTTTCGCACAACTTCGACATTAAACACGCCAAGAAACCATCAACCGACAAGTTAATAGTGTCCAAATMAKAAGATTTKTCAAAAATCAAGCACAGCAGTCGCATTAGAGATTCAGATATGTTYGCCCTTTTTCAGTCGAGAAACCAGCGGCCGGACATTTATATGCTCGCCCCAACCTGTTTAACAGTGAGCCTATAATAAATTGTTTAAACGTTAATGCCAAAATTGTTGAAATTTGATATTTGGTTCACATGAAATAAATTGTTTTACTTTGCTCTCACTGTTGATATTATTACTTTTTTTGGCTAACAAAAAAATTATAAAATGTTACATTCGTTTTTTACAGCTATCTACAATTGATCTTGCAGACGATGGAAACTGTGTTAACGATCATTGTAAACAGTTAAAATACAAAAATTACTTTACCCTTGTCCAGTTACGCCAAAACGTTGCTCGACTAGTTCCCCAATGATTCGTTCCTCGGTATCAACTTCATGTGGTCGTTCCCGAAAACTGCCGTGCTTCCATCTGTTCAACAAGTTTTCCGTGTCAGTCGACATTTCTTGCACTTTCTCCTCTTCCATGCGTCCAGATTCAGATTCTAAAATTTCGAAAAATAGACAACAATCGTTTAAAGTGGGCTGAGAAATCGAGCACCATTTTCGTCACGCAAATCCAGAGTTTCATCAGTGCCCGTAGAACTTTGAGAATGTATTGGAATGCGAATTTTGTCAAAGGTTATTTTCTTCTTTTCGTTCTTCTTAGCTCTAGGTGTTGTTGCAAAAATTACTTCAGTATCAGTCGCGCTCTTCTTTTTCTTTGCGAATCGTGGAAAAGTCCCTCCAAAGGTCAGATCAAACCTGTATCGTTTCGGTTCTTGCTCTGATTCATCTAAATGGAAATGAATGAATGATATGTCTTGTTATAAACAGAACAAAACTGTTCTCAGAGACGTAAACCTTAGTGTAAAGGGGAATAGTTTATTTTTAACTCTTTGAGGTGGTTGCCATCTCCCCCGCGTAGGGGGGGATAAATCAATCCCAAAATATCATACATAACATTACAGTTTCTTTCGAGGTTTTTAGGGCGTTGGATACATTTGTGATCTTAAGCAGCCACTGATGTGTAAATCAGTTCTTTCTCTATGACTACAAAAATGGGGTTTAGAAGGAGTGGTGAGGCGCAAGATAAGATGTCTTGTGCAGCATAGCACCAGCGATCGATACGTGGAAAACAGGTACTGTTACAAAACAGAAAATGTTGCCTCGAAACCGGAAATATAATAGGTATAAACCACTTTAGCAACGGAATAAAGATATTCCTATAATAACACCGAATGTCTTACGTTGGCACAGAGCTGAAATAGCAACAAAGGCAATTAAAAACTTGAAAAATATATATACCTGCCATACAAGAAAACAGATGGTCAGGAACGGGGAATATGGAGATGGAAAACGATCCAGTATTCTGGTCAGGAAGTCAGGACCGACAGGAGAATGGAGGTGGATTTGTCATAGCGAAGAGGCTAAGAGCAGCAGTGGTGAATTTCAGACCAGCCAGTGAAAAAATTTGCTTCATCAGACTGAAAGGTAAATGGTTCAATCTCACGTTACTCTCCATACATAGCCAGACAGAAAATGCTGACGAGGACAGTAAGAAGGAATTCTATGAAGTACTAGACCAAGAGTATAACAGTATAAAGCAGAGTTGGGAGATTTTAATGCTAAGTTAAGAAAGGGAGAATACCTGAGAGAAGTAGTAAGAAGACACCTTACACGATACAACAAACGATAATGGACACCGGCTAACAAAGTTTGCCATCGCTAATAATATGATTGTCGGATCCACACAATTTGAAAGAAAGAACATTTGTAAAGTCATATGAGTTTCAAACGATCGATCAACTCGTAACCAAATAGACCATGTTCTTATAGATACACGACACTCTCGTAGCATCATTAATGCACGGCGTATGAGAGGAGCAGACAGCGATACTGATTATTTCCTGGTTAAAACCAAGTTGAGAATACGAATAGCAATACAGAAAACGATGGATAAAGAACGAAAGCCAGGATGGGACAGAAGCTTTTCGAGAACCGAATAAGAAAGTTGACTATCAAGTAGTCATTAGTAACAAATTAATGCTGTCTAAGACACGAGGACAAGATAGAGCTGGAGGAGACATGACAGCAAATAACAACAATCATAGAAGAAGAAGCGGCAGGAACCATTGGAAAAAGGAAGAAACGCCCAAACGGAAAGTGGTTTGACAGATAATGCAAGGAAGCGCTAGAGATAAAAACTAAACAACTCCTAAAAATGTTAACAAACCCTACAGGTGAGAATAAGGAAGAATTTTACAGAACAGGAGCAGAGATACGGTGATTACTTGGAGCTAAAAAGAAAAACCACTTGACACATCAAATACGGGAAATAGGCAGAAATCGCGATATGAATCAAGCACTGAAAAGGGACGTAAAGCGAGGAAAAAAGATGGAAATTTTCGAGAAACAAAAGCCATGAGAAATTAAACAGGCAAGCTAATAATGACAGTAATGGAATTTGACGTAAAATGAAAGCAGTACTTTCAGGAGTTACCAACTAATGAGAGTGAGACAGAGGAAGAAAACATTACCTACCATTTAGCAGTTGTGAGAGGACCAACAGCACCACCCCAAGAAGTTAAGAATGTCATAAAGTCTCTCAAAAAGCACAAAGCGCTATGCAAATATGGATAACTGCTAAAAATACGTAGAAAACGTTCTGCACCAAAGAATATATCTACGAATTGAGGCCCAAAGAGTGGAACAAATGCGTCATTATAAACGGTGTTCCAATAAGAACGGCAGTTTTGAATTACGCGCCATTTGTAGTGTCATAATTTGACATTAAAAAAAGGCCGTTCGTTAGTAGACAGCAGGATGTTAAGTAACTGGAACGGTTCAATACACAACAACAAATTTTCAATGTGAAAAATTGTTATCAAAGTTATGGAAGTTTTGCAGTCACAGTTCGCAAAAGGCGTACAATAATGACCCATCGGAATGTTCCAACTGACGCCACTGTGAGAAAATTAATGAAGAATTTTCAGCAAATTTAGTCTGTTGAAGTGAAAACAGAAACACGCATTCGCCCTGGTCGCTGGACAAAATATCGCTGCAGTACGTGCAAATGTTGAAACGAAACCCCAACCACATCAATTCGGTATAGAGCTCAAGAAATTGGTGTTTCCACAACCACTGTGCATCGAATTTTAACAAAATATTTGAAGCTTCATGAGTACAAAGTTGAATTGGCTCAATAGCAACGAATTGACTTTTTGAATAACGACAATTAGACGGTGACTTTCCAACGAAATCCTCTTTAGTGACGAGTCCCATTTTCATGTTGAATGCTTCGTTAATCGACAAAATTATCGTATTTGGAGTTCCGAAAATCCACGAATGATCGTTCAGAAACAGATGCATCCAAAAATGGTCACTGTTTGGTGTGTGGCTGGAGGCATCATCGGGCCATTTTCTTCGAAAATGCAGTTGGTCAAGCATTGACCGTGAGTGGCCTTCGTTATAGTGAAATGTTGACTAACTTTTTCTGCCAAAATTGCAAAATATGGATCTCAACAGCATGTTTCCAACAGCCAGAGAAACTGTTGAATTACTGCACGAGTCATTTTCTGATCGTGTTATTTCTCGGTGATCGGCATTGGCCGCCTAGATCGTGCGATTTAACGCCTTTGGATTTTTTTTGGAGTTTTTTTAAAGTCTCACGTGTATGTGAACAAACATAAGCGCATAATCAGGATGGACCACCGCATACTTGTGAGAATCGCTAGCGACAAGTCCCCAATGGAACAAAGAGACGTTGGGCAGCCCCAGGAAACGATGAAGCGACAGCGTCACGCAAGTTAACGATAATTGAACAGGCGATTTGCCTAAAATCAAGAATGAGGAAAAAGAAGAAAATAAAGTCGGAGCTAACAGAAAGTTCTGCTCAACAAAGCTAAAAACTATTGTTGGCCTTTGCTTACGACATAGTGGTAGTGGTGGTGGTAGTGGATCATTCAACAAGAGATATACGAGCGGTTTTGTCATCACTGGAGGAACAAGCAGCTAATCTGAGCCGGCGAGTGCACGAAGGAAAAACCAAATACATGGTAGCTACAAAGAATCCAAGGCCCCGAATTGGATAGAATATAACCTTGACTGAATACAACTTCGAGGTGGTTAAGGAATTTCAGTACCTGGGAGCGGTAATCACGAATAACAAACGAGTAGGAAAAGATATCTCAGAACGAATAATGGCTGGAAATCGAGCGTCTCAACAATAGGTTGTCTGCTTGTTATTCAACGATTTTAACAGTGTAACCTATTCGCTTCTAATCATGTATTACACGGAGACCAAACACAATTGTTTTTGTGTAAACACTAATCTGGAAACCAGTATCTGAATGCAAGTTTAATTGTTTCTACAAATTGGAAACCCGATTATTAGGAAATCTCTGAACAAAAAGCAACAAAGTAATAACTAATGTAAAAAGAATTCTACGCTCTTTAAAACGAAGTTCCACTTGGCCCCGCTGCCCATTGCCAAGATTCTAAGAGTGACATCTACCCGTTCTAGGGTGTTGAAGCAAGGAGGCTAATGATATTAATTTAAAATGTCCCCCTTGCAAATAAAATTTACGGGTATTTCTGATCTTACGGAAAGTATATGGAAAGTATAGGTATAAGTAAAGTACAAATATCTGATACAACAGTAAACGAGAGGAATGTACGGAATATGCCACTAATGAATTTTTTAATAGACACATAAGCTATAAATGTTCAAACTGACCTCCCTATTAGTAAATTGTTAGCTTCAGAAGGCAGAAGGCGAACGCAAGAAGACTAAGCCCTGTAGATTTCAAGGTTTTCTTGCTTGCTTACCGTAACTACCAATTTTAATACATTCAATATCGCAGTAGAATAAGCAATATATTGGGTACCTGCGTTTGATTCCGTAGAAAACTGTCGACTTTCCACCGTTCGGGTTTCGGTAGTTTTTCGTGCACCGGGCAAGCTAATGTGTGGAATCCGAATAGAGGCAGTGTCGGGTATCTGAGGTATGTGCAGATTAATTTTCGGCTTCAATTTCTTAAAATCAATTTTTTGAAACATCGGTTTCTTTGGGTTCGATTTAATTTGTGGCACCTCTGGTTGGCTGGCATCGGGTATTTTCTCATCTTGAACTGGACTTTTCCGAAATCGGTTTAACTAATAGATAAAACAAACTGAGTGAGTACAATTAGTGAATTCCAAATATAATTAATCGTACTGCAAAGCTTACTTGTTTGAAAAACTTTGATGTTTTTGTTTCCTCCGGCACTCCTTCGGGAATATTAGATGGTGCTTCAGGAGCAACATGTCTGTTATTTGAGGATGAAGCACTGTCCTTCCGGAAACGCCCAAACTAAAAAAACACACATTCAGAAAACATTAAACGTGAAAATGGAATATGATATGCGTTGCCATTAAACAGGAATTAATAGATATATAGAATAGAAGTCAACTGTATTAACCTGCAGGCTAAACTAGGGGAGGGTATCTTGCAGTGGCTGCAACCGCCCTCTCTGGGTCAGACACAGCGTCTGTACCCAGAACGGGCGGCTGAATAAAACGCTCGGCAAGCGCAGCATTTTAAAATGCCAAATCCTTCCAAACAAAACCATGAATAGTCAACGTTCTAAAAATAAATTACCCCAGGCGAGTAGAAATGCATCTATCTCAGAATTGCGCACTGATTCGTCGGTCTGCCTCAAGGATACTGGGGGAGGCTGTGGAATTTGGCTTTCCAGAAAGGAATCAGAGCACGGAAAACCCCAGTGGACAGACGCTCTTAATTGCAACTTATAACATGCAAACCATGAGACTCGAAGATCAACTCGAGTGTCTCTACACGACAAACTAGAAAACATCAAATGGAGGCTATTGGGTATCAATCAATCAAGGTATATTCAAATCCGGCCGCAGTTGTTTCAAAGAAATACCGAAATGAAGCATCAAATTGTCGGAGTGGCAATATTAGTTCATASCAGCATAAAACATCTCGTATGCAAAACAGTCGCTGTATCGGATCGACTTATATACATATTGTTTGCTCTGAATGACAGATACARGATGCAAGTAATCCAGGCGTACGCGCCAACAAGTGTATCACCAGATCAATACGGGGAACAATCATACGAGGATCTTGCATCTGCCAAGAATGCGGAAAAAGCTAGGTTTACAATTATAATGGGTGAGTTTAATGCAAAGATTGGGCAGAGAACAGCCCTAGACCCACCAAGCCTTCCACCAGGAAGTTTCGGTCCTGGGAAGAGAAATCACTGATAAGTGTAAGAGGACAAACTACGATTGATTTTCTGAACAACGAGAAAATGCTCTGTATGAGTACTTTTACTGCCCCTACAGCTTAATTTAAAAATAAAATGGACTATGTACTTGTCTCATATATACAGCGTTGGTTTTTTATATCTTGAAACGCTTAAATATTTCGGAAACGAGTGTTTTAAACCAACCAACCAAATACGTTTCGATGAAGTGAACATTTTGCACCAATCTCATCGGTATTACCCGATACAAACCAGAGGGGATATTGAGATCTTCAGAGATGACAACAATTTCAATAGGAAAGAAGAAGTAACGGCCCTTGATCCAGATTGGAAACGCAATTACCATGGTCCACGGCTTCAAAGCCCGAAAAACATTTCTATATGTGATCATACCTTAGTCAAACAATCACACTTGGCAAACAAAACAAAAAAATCGAGGTCAACAGACGAATCAGACTGGGATGGGCCGCATACGTAGGACTGACATACATCCTTAATTCGAAGATACATATTGTACCGTGGATGGCTGGGTATCAAACTATTTCTTCAGTTTTCAACTTTTATTCAACTCGATATCACTTTAAATACGGAACAGGAACAAACTAACTTCTAAATTAACGTCAACTTCACAAACAATAGTCCCGCGAGTCGGACTTCCGACTCGCGGGGTTTAACCTCTTCTGAGCTCGGTCGCTTCTGTCACTTCACTGACTCCCTGTGGTTTTCGTCGCCGCTTATATAGTTTCCTCCAGATAACCCAGACGGTTCTCGAAATCTCCAGCCCTGGTGCGAAATTTCCCGCTTGTCAGTGTCATATTTGACAGTAAATGGGGCGCAAATGGGGATTCCATTTACTGAAATACCATGAATTTCGATCCCCCCATTCCAAAAGTGAGTACCCAAGACCATTTCCGTTACAATATATAGACAATGGCATTAAAAACAAAAATATTTAACGAGTATATCCTCCCATTGGTGACATATGGATCTGAGACTTGAATCTTGACAAAGAAACCCACTAACAATCTAAGAGTGCATCAAAAAGCCATAGAACAAAGATTACTAGGTGTAACACTAAAGGACCACAAAACCAACAAATGGATAAGAGAAAAAACGCAAGTAACAGAAGTCATAGAAAGAATTAGCTCTCTAAAGTGGCAACAGGAATACGTGATCAAAAATGAGCGAAGCCTCTATCCAATGGATAGAGAACGGCTGAAATGGAAATGGATTCGAGAGTTGCATTAGGCATCTATGGCTGTAAGCTTAGAAATAAACCTGGACAAACCGAAAATCTTGACCCAAAGTCATATCGCTGTGACTGTTACAGTTACGTTCTCGAGGTTGTTGAGAGCTACGTATATCTTGGATACACGATCATGCTCGGGGCAGAAGATCAAACTGATGCGATCAAAAGAAGCGGACTGTCCTGGACTGCATTGTGCAAGTTGGGGCATATACTAAAGGAATCGAAAATATCGATTAAACTCAAGCGTAACGTTTTACTTCCAGTCACCATATACGGACTCGAGACTGCCACAATTGAGCAATGGAAAGACGGATGCTGAACGTGAGCCCCAGAGAGCAGGAGTCAAGGATGTAGTGGAGCATAATGCTAGAAACAAATGGCGATGGTTGGGGCACGTTGCGAGAGATGATAGAAAATGCACGAAAAATGTCATGTAATGGAGACCTAGATAATCTAAGAGGAGCATGGAACGACCGCAGGCAAGATGGCGTGACGATATCCAACGCCAAGCCGGAAAGAATTGGAAACAGACATCTCAGGACAGACAAGCGAGGAGACATATGRAAGAGGCCTACGTTGAGGAGTGAACGTGCATGTGCTGATATAATGACATGATGATGATTGAATRGACGAAGGTATATAGAAAAATTATGATARTGGATCAAAATTTTAAGTTTTTAATTTCTGTCATGCACTGTCGCCTTTCCCAAAAATAAGCCAAGAACCAACTTTAAGGCCGATAGGTCAACATAGCCTAAATGAATTATCGGGAAAAATCACTAGCTGCATACAAGTAGCAGCGAAAAAGGTATATTCCATGGCAGCAACAACTAATACGAAACTCAGCCAGGACAGAAACGCACTCCTAGCAGAACGCAGAAAAATGGACAGAGACTCAATAGGATACCGAGAACTAGACAAACGAGGACAACAAAGGAAGCGATTAAAAATAACATAACACAAAGATCATACAAGAAGCCATTGAAGACCACATGAATATGAAAGTCACCTGATCAAAAAGAACAAAGGGAAGGTCGCTCATATACAAAATTAAATGTATTAGTAGTAAATTAAGAAACTATCGACCGATCAGTTTTTTCTCCGTTTTGTATAAGCTTCTTAACAAAATCATAACCATCCTATCTATTTCTATTTCTATCAGTCAGTAGAACAGGCCGGGTTCCAAAGCGGCTATAGTACAAAGGATCACATTCAAAGGGTACGTACCCTTATTGAGAAGTGTACCGTATATAAAATCCCATTACACCTGGCATTTGTCGACTACAAAAAAGCTTTTGACTCGGTGCAAACCTAGACTGTGCTGGAGCCAATGGATAATGCGAGGATTGACTCAAGGTAGACCTACCTCATTAAAGATATATAAAGGAGTGCTACAATATATGTAAAAATAGACGAAGCAAGAGAGGCAGTTTAGGTTAAGTTAGGATTAGGATTAGGTTAAGATAGATTAAGTCTTTGATGTCACTAAATCCACTGATGTTAGTATATAAGTACCCGTAGATTAAGTAGCAATAAGAAGGTCTAATCCTTGTTTGAAAATAAATATGTTCAAATACCAAATACCAAGATACGGCGATTCAATTTCTCTAAAATTATTTACCCTGGTATTAGAAGATATGTATAAGAACTTGACATGGCAACAAAACAGAGTCAACATAGACGGAAGATTTTTGAAGTAATCTCCGACTCGTCGACAACATTGTGATTATGAGCACCGACCAGGACAAACTTAGCACCATGGTATGCGACCTAAAGAAAGAGTGTCAGAAGGTAGAACTAGAAATGAACCTCCAGAAAACGGAGATCATGAGCTCAAACAACACCAACATTAATGTCAATATCGCTAACCAAACACTTCAGTTAGTGGAAGAATACATATATCTGGGACACAGCATCAGGCTAGGCAAAGACAACCAGACAGCCGAGATAAGGAGGAGAATCAGTTTGGATTGGACAGCGTTTGGAAAAGTCGCATTGGTATATCCACAGAGAACCGAAGCTACCAATTAGTCTGAAACGGAAAATATACGATACATGCGTACTGCCCGTTATATTGTACTGGCTTGAGACAGTCTCAATGACAAAGAAACAAGCACAAAAACTACGGGTTTGTCAACGTGCGATAGAGCGTGCGATGCTGGGAATTAGCTTAATAAATAGACAAAGAAACGAAGATATCAGGGCAAGAAATAAACTGAGTGACGTCATAGAACAAACTAAAAAAAAAACAAGTGGCGTTGGGCAGGACACGTTGCGTGAAATTATGAGAAATGGACGAAGACCATTATGCAGTGGAGACCACGGAGAACAAAGAAGAGCAGAGGCAGACCCATGCTCACATGGCGAGACGACATACAGAAACAAGCGGGAAAGAACTGGATGCTCCCAGCACAAAACAGATCAACATAGAAAAAAATGGAATAGGCCTATCTCCAAGAGTGGATTCATGCAGGCTGATGAAGATGAAGAATCGCTTCTTCTGCGGTTATTCTTGGTCCTGTCTCCTTTAGTAAGTTTTCAAAGCATGGTGCGTGTCTCTGGTGTTCGAGTGTGGACGCTTCTTTTCTATTCTTTTTTTTGCCGGTTTTAGCAGAGCTTCCTTAAGTTTGTTCACAGTACAATGTCCATGATTGTCGAGTGTTCTGTTTCATCGATTTATCTTCGGTTTTATTGAATGTCTCTTTCTACTTTCTGTTTCCTAGTTTGGTTTTTTAAGCGATTAATGTCTATTCGTCGCCCCTTTCATTTCTGAACGCAAGTTCTTCAAAGCTGAATTGGTACAAGAACTTCAGTAGACTGTATTGGAAGGAGAAACACGCTATCGAAAATGAACTATATTTGAAGAAGGGCGCGTTAGTACGACACGAAAAAAGGATCTATTTTGGCTTCAGCGTTTATATCCCTCAGATAGGTGGCAGTCAAGTGCCATCTGGTGATTGACAACAAATAGATAGAGCCTCAACCACCAAATAAAGTCACCTAAAAGAAGGTGGCCGCAAATTATAATAATGTACAGAACGAAAAACAATTTCGCTACTAATAACTTCATAATATCTACTAAGCATTTCAGACACTTACTTGAAAGAATGATTTTTTTTTGTCTTCAGCTGGTCGATCTAAGATCTCCGCCACACTAATAACGAACTTCGGATCGTCATCATCTAGCACACTTGGTAAAACTGTCGGCTCTGGCGGTGGACTGATCGGTTCATACTCATGATCACTGTAAAAATTTATTAGTTTAAAAATGTGTCAGATTTTCAAAATATTTTACATTAATCTAACCAATCTTTAAATATACCCACCGAAAATGTACAGTTTTGGTAATTGGCGCAACATGGCCTGGAGAACCAGTAAATTTTGCAGGTTTATCCGGTAATAATTCGTTGCCCTGAAAGTACTGACATGCGCACCTAACATCTAGCGACGTTACGCTTGAGCCAGTTGAGCTTTCCCGCGATACGTTCGGCTTTTTCGGACGTCTTCGCGCTCCTTCAGATAAGGATCGAACATTTCCGGTTGTACCGGAAAAAGACGATCGTCGCTGGAATCGTTGAGATTGCATCCTTGGGTCTTCAGATCCGAAGGGAAACTTTACGCAAGTATGTCTGAAGCGAAGTAATCGATTTTCCTTAATTCAAAATAGCGTCAAATCTTTTAAGTAATTCATAATAAAGCTTTTAGAGAAAAGTAAAATTTAAAGAAGAATTCGCTTCCACGCAAAGCTAGTAATAAATACTAAGTTAATTAAAATACTTTTCTATGTAAATTTTTGCGGTTAATGGAAAGGCAAAATATAGTCAGACATCCCGAACGTTAAACAATGTATTCACTTATTGTAAAGAAAGCTAAGTTTAGATGTCGAATCTTCAGAATTCACACAGAATGCTGAATAAATCTGGAATGATGCGAATTAATTTCATTCGACAAAAAATAAGTTAATACTTTACTTTAGTGTCACAAGCGCCCTAAAGACCAAACTCTCATAGAGCATTACGCCACGACAAAGTTTATTTTAAGGCAGTCAAACTACCAGCACCATATTAAATGTATGTACCGACTTCGATAACGTGAAATCTGTCTTAATGGACATGAAAGACAAAAGTTGCTGTCCTTAAAAAAAACTTAATTAGACTTAAAAAATGCATCTGTTTACGTCTAGTTAAGTTTTTATTTGTCCTGGTCTGACAGACTATATGTTCGTATTACCGCTAGAAAACTTATGGTTCGCGTTAACGGTTAAAAATGAACATCTGCACAAAAACTAAATTTACGATAGTTGTTAGGGACGATATTCCACACACTCGAAGTCACGTTGATAAAGAGAACATCGAACAGGTCAAATAATTTAAATACCTAATATGCAAGATTAACGAGGGATGGATCCAGCAGGCTAAAACAACCTTCCAATGACTTCTTACACCCGCAAACTTGAACTAGAGCCTCAGACACAGAATGGCAAAATGCTATGTTTGGTTCGCTGTACGGTGTTGAGTAGTGGACGTTAAAATCATCAATCAACATAATTGAGGCTTTTGAAATATGGATCCTCCAGCGTTTGTGGAGGATTTCTTAGGTCGATTATGTGAGAAACGATGAACATGTTTTTTATAAAATGTTCAGAAAAGGAAAACTGCGTGAAGCTACCAGTTTCAACGCCTTATTCTAGATTGGAAAATTGGAGACGAGAAGGGGATTTGGCAGAACAAAGTTGTTGTGGTTAAGAAATATTTGTCATTGCACGGAGGTAAAAGGCTTCAAAACTTACAATATGATGCAATTAATAAAAAAAATCGATAACGAAAAAGATGAACGCATAAGCCGGAATCTGCTCGGCGCCAGAAGAAGAAGGAGACATCGAGAACAAATCTGCGAAGCGGTCAAGTGTTACGTGCACATATATTTTTGTTCGAGGCTTTTCATATTTGTTGATGAATATTTCTATGCTGCAACGGTCATATTTGACTACCCGATGTCCATATCTATTCTGCAGCTTTGTGCGCACATTTTGTATAATATTTCAATTTATATTCGAAAATAATTCCTATTGTCCTAGCAAGAGTTGGTTAAGATGATATTTTCTCCGTTTTGACTTGAACATCTTTAACCCTTTTCGTTTGTAAGTTGTGTGTTGACAACCTTCAATCTGCCTAATTTTCGTTTTTAATTACTGTAATTATTTTTGTGTCAATTTTTCAACTATTTTCCAATTGTTTTTATCTTCAGGATTGCTGTTATGTATGGAAACAAAAGGATTAATACGAAAATGGAAAGGTTCTTTCTAGTCTATTATTATTACTATTACATAAAGAAAAATTTAGTATGGAAATCAACCAAAAAGCTGCGGCAAAACGAAGTTTTTTTTTCTTATATGGAACAACCTGTGTGTTAGTCAATAATTGAATTCTCCTCGTCATTCTAAACAAAAATCGCATACTAGACTACATGCTTAAACTTAACCGTTTTGAAGTGTCCAAAGTGTGCACCATTTACCTCTTGACAGTAATGAAGTCGCTAAACAAAACTTTCTAATGATTTCAGAAATATTTTCGAAGAATACCGGCAATTTCCTGACTTTTTCTATCTTGCAACTCTTCAATATTTAGTGGTGTACTTTTGTAAGCAGCATTTTCGATATGACCCCATAGAAAAATGTCAAGTGGAGTCATATCGGGAGACCCAGCTGACCATTCAATTCTACCCCTGCGACCAATCCATTTCTCAGGAAACATTTCATGCAGATATGCTCGTACTTCGTGTCCAAAATATCGAGGCGCTCCATCTTGTTGCCATATTTGGTCTATAGGTAAAAGCATATTATTATTATTCGGAAATAATCGTTTCAGCTCTGGAACAATGGATTCTCGCAAACGTAGCAAATATAGTTTAGAATTCAAATTTCTATTAAGAAAATACGGCCCTTATTCCACACTAAACGTGAATTTTTTGCGGCCGTTTGGTGTATGTGTTGATTATGGACTGCCTGCACCCAATGTGGGTTTTGGGTCGGACAATTATCTACAGCTATGCCGGTTTACGTATCCGTTTAAATGAAATGTTGACTTACTTTGTTTGGATAGAACTTTCATTTTTTTGAAATGTTTGAACAGAATATTGACTCATGCGATGATTTAAAGGTAATTTTGTTGCATGTTGTGTTGAATTTTGCGGATTTCCTACCACATCTTGCTAGATGTTAACATCCACCTAATTTTCTTTACTTGTCCCACTGATCGGTCCTTCACTTTTGGTTCAGTCAAAGACACCTCCTGTTTTATGGAGATGCTGTAACGTTTTTGCAACAGTTCATTCAGAAATTAATTGATTTTAGTTATATATTTAAAGACTTGGGCAAAACTGCATGTTTTGTCTCCACTCCACATCATTACTCTTTCAATACGCTTAATTTCACTTAAACGCGCTATTCTATATCCCAAATAATTTGCAATAATTCATATAAAACGAATTTTTGACATTCATGTCAATTAAATTTAGAACAAAAGAATGACTCGGCGTTGCTATAGTGACCTATACTTTCTAAGGTACCTTGATGAACAGTGGTTTTATATTTGATTAAATAATTTGGGGAATTACATGGAAAGATCATTTCGACAATTCGATATCTCCTAACCATTAAGTTTAAACACGATTTTTTAAACACAATTATTGAATAAAATACAGGGTGTTCTATTATAAAAAGGGTGACTGATCCCGTATGCAAAATTGGTCTTGACGTAAATAGATTGGAACGGAATCTTACAATTTTTGTATTAATTATTTTGTTCGAGCTCTCTTAGTTTAGGAAATAACTCACCGTTTCCATACATAAAAGCGACCCTGTATATAGGACTTGTCTTAGCATTTCAAACTAATTAATTGATCACATCTGAAAATACGTTGTGACATTAATATTACTTACGGAAACACTTAATTTTTAGTATTATTATATATTTTAGTATTTTTATAATTATTTATTAATCCGAGTGGTAATATATGCAATGTCAATATACATTGTATTTAAAATAAGTCCGAATTGGTCTAATTATAGTCATTAAGAACTACTTCAACGTAAAATTTTTCATGGCCAAATCCATGGTTGTAAGTGGCGAAGGAATATATAATGTTATTTTAGATGGAGTAAATAGCCCGGCATATATTCAAGCTTACATCACAAACCAGTCATACTTTTCCAACTTAATATTGTTCGATATCCCGACATACCGAATCGCGAACTGCGAGATCTGCGGGAACACTGATCTATTTTCAGGTTTCCTGCTTTTCTATTATTGGATTACAACTATTTTTAAATTTTGGATATTTTGGCCAATGATGTGCATTTCGACCATTCTGCTTTTTTGAAACAATTTGTAGTCCCTGAGGAGGAGGTTGTGTCACTAAACAATATTAGTGCTTGAATTACTTCAATTCTCTCTGCAGTCCATTTGTTGTGATAATCATATATAAGCAGGCTTTTTGAATATACGAATACTTTACTTATGAGAATTCGATCGAAGTAAAACGGAGTCTCATTCAACTGCCTAGTTTTCGTAGGTACTTCAATTGTTTGGCTTTACCAAATAATGCATTCTAGTTTTAAGTTTCGGCAGCCCCAACAACTACCAGAGGGGTTGAGAGGGTGAAATCCATGTTGTCAAGCGTTGAATGATTGTTGTAGAGAATCAGATTTAACCACGCCGGTCTTACACTCCTCTCCATTCATCGCATTGAATATATCGCTCAACGTTAACAATAAAAGTGCACAAAATCCTGTACGAAACACCAAAGGTTTCAATTATGTGCAACAGCCCTTATTTCCGTTGTGTGTAATAATGTATATCACTTGTATAGACACAATTTCAAGTATTTGTTTTGTAAATTTGCCTTGAGAGCCCAATATGTTGGACAAATTAGAACAGAGACTAAGAGCGAAGCGCTAAACTGAAAAGCAAAAACCAACTGAAATACAAAAAATATGAAATCTCTGTTAAATAAAGGTTAATATCGGTGTTAAAGTCTGTAAGACGCTAATATGAAAACTTGTTCCCAAAAGCAGTGATAAATGCTAAAAATCAACTCAGAAAATTGTACCACTACAGAAGATACTCAATAATAAATGAAAAATAGTTCACGACTCCTCGTTGCTCCTGCATTTTGTCTTCTTCTATTATTTTCTTCTAAATTCTAGATGTAAAAACAAATCCATAGATGTCGTTTGTCTGAAGCTACGAAACTAACAAAGTATGAAGATCAGTTTTTTTGGATATAAAGAATGAGTTTGAACACCTTTCAAAAAGATTGAGCATTTTGAAACCATTTATCACAAAGAAAGAGAAGAGTGAGGAAACCACGCCACGGCGGTTTCAAGTCACCGCTCGGTCAAACGTGAAGCCGCATGAACAGTATGGATAGAAACTAGAGGTCTGCTAAACGGTTATTTTTCTGTAACGGGTTACAACGTCTCAGTTTCACCTTGGTAATGGGTTTAAAAATGGGGTTCCAAAAGGAACCTGTCACTTTTTAAATTTTTTATTAAAAATGCGGAATGATGATGATAGTGGAAATAGTGAAGATATATAATGATTTCCTTTAAAGTAACTAGTTAAAATTACTCCTTAGAAATAACTACTTAAAGAACAAAAAACCTTTAAGTCGGAAAACGGATGCAGCTGGTGCGAAGTGTGCACAACTGTTTCTGTTTTATGAGACGGTTCCAAAAATAATGGTTTAACTCGGCAAACAGCTGCAGTTGGATAGATCGCTTGACGGTGTCCGAAGGGCGCACCACTATTTCGGTTTTATGAGACGGTTCCAAAAAGAAAGCTGCTAAATCGGCTAGCTTTAACTACGGTTTCAGGTTACACGTTTGGAACACTGTTATTTTAGCGGTTACGTTAAATACCGACTATCCCTGATACCGACCATCCCTAATAGAAACCGTGCTGTTCCGTAAAGTAAGATTTTTCATATTAATAATACATGTATATTTTCCATGTATATTTTCTATTAATTAAGCAGGGTTTTTCAATTATTCCTCAAATTTTCTTTTGACTAAATCAGGATTTCTGAAAGGCTGTACAAAGTTTTGAATATTTTCTTCCTAGGAAAGCCGGGATTGTTGGTGAGACAACTGAACCCTTTCTGGTAGAGACGTTCACCACACGCAAGGTGAAAAAAATTAATATTGGTGACCAAAACAGTCTTTTGGTTTCGTTATTTAATTAAACTATCCAAACTATAATTCCGAAATGAAAAAATAAATTGCAAATCCAATCACACTGCTAGAAAGCGAAGCTCAATTGGCAGGAAAACGGTTCCATTCAGGTTTTTATTCAAGCGCTTCATAAAGGAGGTGCAGGTGTTTTTTCGGCTACCGCAAGAATTTCAGAAATATTCCCAAAATTATCTGGATAAAAATGTTGCAGGCTAACAATATTCTCAGGGCATTAATTAGTCTATTGAATAGGAGCGAAAACTTTGAAAACTGGGCATAATTCAATTAATAATCATTTCATAACTTGCCTAATGACACACATTTCACTTTACATCGACTTTAAATAAGAGCCCGAGTTCCTTAAGGCGTAATTGAACTCATTTTCCAGAGAATCGGCTTTGCGACACTCATACAAAATTGTGTCCAAAAATGGTCGCTTTCAGTGTGTTTTGAGAATTTTATTGAATTTGGAAATGTCGAGCTCTATAAGAGCCGGTATAATATTTTTAGTATCTGGTTTCTAGAGAAGCCAGAATTTTTTTTGCAAAACAATTGAACCCGATCTGGCAGAGGTCCTAAATATGCGCAAAGTCAGAAAGCGGAAAAATTCATGGCATGAAAAAATATTCCGAATGAGTTTCTTATGTTTTTTGTTGGAAAATCCAGTCATCCTCAAGGGGATTTGATATATTTGATAAAAATTGACAAAATTTTCCCGAAAAATAATTATTGACCGTCAATGTCCTCAGCGAAAGAGTAATATAGAACATAATTAAAAAGTTTCGAAAGTAGGTCTAGGTAGGTATCTTCAAACAAATTTATATAATTTCATAACTTGTCAATGTATGACACACATTTAATTTAAAATGGACTTTGAATGGCAGCACTGGACTTGAGAAGATATTTGTTAGGACACAACTTAGTCCATTTTCTGGGTAATCTGCTCAGGGACACACAAAGAGAGTTTTGCGTAAGAATGGTCAAACTCGAGCGTGCGTTGGCGATTTTATTGGACTTTGAAATGTCGAGCTCCATAAAATCCTGTACAAGATTTTCAGTATTTTATACCTAGGCGCGTTGACTATGCACAACGTCCCTATGAGAAATTATCTCTCTTATTATTATCTCCTATTATCTTATCTCTATCCATCACTCGAAAATTCAGACATCCGCAGCTCCCTAATTTCGAAACGCATAAAAATGTGCCAAAATCTGAGCACATAACTGGATAGAGGACTTCAATGTCCAGGAAAAAGGTTCTATTGCATTTTTTCCTTAGGCGTTTCGTAGCTGAGCTGCAGACGGTTGTTGGAGATCCGGCGAAAATTTTGAAAAATTCGAAAAAATTTTTTTGGGCAGCCACAATGTCCTCGGCAAATTAATTCCATTGAATATAGGCAAAAAGTTTCGAAATTAAGCTCTCAAAAAAATATCTTAACAACTTTTATTAATTTCATAACTTGCCTATGTATGGTACACATTTCACTTTACATGGGAGCACATACACGTTAGGGCGCAATTGAGTCCATTTCTAGGGAATCTACTCCGATCCGGTCGATTTCCAGCGTGTTTCGGCATATTTACCTTGAAACCTTAAAATGTCGAGCACCGTAAGAGACTGATCATTGTTTTAGTATTTTCTTTCGAAGCAACTGAACCCTTTTTGGTAGAGGCATTAACTATGCGCAACATCAGAATGTGGAAAAATTAATGACACCTAATTAAAAATTCTGATTGCGTTTCTGGTACTTTCGTTGAAAAATGTAGCAATCCTCAGATATATAATTCCGAAACTCATAACGATGTAGCCAATCCGAGCACAGAGCCTAAAATAGGAACTCAATTCGCAGGAAAATGGTTCTTATAAGGTGTTTCCTCAGGCGCGTCATCGACGAGTTGCAGGCGATTTTTAGGGTTCTGGCCGAAAATTTGGAAAGTTTTTGCGTCACAATGTACTTAGCAAATTAATTCTACTGATTATGAACAAAAAGTTTCGAAATTAGAAATTTTCATAACTTTATAACTTACAAATGTATGACACTCATTTCATTTAAAATAAAGTCTAAAGGGATGCATGTATTCGTTAGGACGCCGTCCGTATTTTTCGTCGGAAAATTCGGCCATCCTCAAATCGATTTTTCCAAAACGCATAACCATGTGCCAACTGCAAGTGCCCGGCTGGAAAGAGAAGCTCACTGTGCAGGTTCTTTTCCTTAGGTGCAACTAGAACTTTGGTCAAGTTCTCAACATTTTTACGAAAAAACATTTGTTGACTCATAATGTCCTCAGTGAATTAATTGTAATGAATTGAAGCAAAACATTTAGAAATTAGGTTCGTAAAATAGTGACAAAATTCCATACTTTCATAACTTGCCAATGTATGACACATATTTTATTCGCAACGTCCGAATGCGAAAAAGTTTGTGACATTCAAAAAAAGTTCTGATTCAGCCATCTTCAAATCCATAATTCCGAAACACATAACGATCTGGCAAACCCGAGCACACGGCTAGAAAGAGGAGCTCACTGTGTAGGAAGTTTATATTGCGTTTCTTTCCTAGGCTGCTTCATAGAGGAGTTGCAGGCGACTTTAAGGGGTGCTGCTAGAAACTTTTGTAAAATTTTTCCGAAAATACTATTTTTTGACCCATAATGTCTTCAGCAAATTAATTCTATTGAATTGAAGCAAAATGTTTCGAAATTATGCTATCTCAGACTAATTTTTCATAATTTCATAACTTGGTAATGTATGGCACATTGCATTTAACATGTAGTTTTAATGGAAGCATGCATTCGTTGGGGGCAATTGAGTCAATTTCTTAGGAAATCTACTCTGGGAGTGTCAACGAAGTTTTTGCACAAAAATGGTTGTTTTCCATCGTGTTTTAGCAATTTTAATGAACTCAGAAAGCGGAAAAATTCGTGACAAAAAAACATTTTTTAGTTTTGTTTTTGATATTTTTCGATGGAAAATTTAGCCATCTTTAAGCACTTCATATAGGAGTTGCATGCATTTTTTTGGGGCTCCTGCAATAATTTTAGGAATTTTCCAAGAATAAATTTAGCAGCCGCAGTATTATCTGAAAATTAATTCTATTGAATCGAAGCCAAAAGTTTCGAAATTGGGTCACATATAAGCAAATTTATAACTTGCTAGTGTATGACACACATTTCATTTAACATGGAGTTTTAATTGTAGCACGTATTCGTTAAGGCCTAATTTACCTAAGGCCATTTCTTAGGTAATCTGCTCAGAGACATTCAAAGTGAGTTTTGCGCAAAAATGGTCAAATTCGAATGTGCTTTTTGAATGCGAATTGAAATGTCGAGCTCTGTAAGGGCCAGTACAAGATTTTGGTAATTTTCTTGCGAAGCCAGGATTTTTTTGCGAAACAGCTGAACTTTTTCTGGTAGAAATCCTGACCAAATTCTGGTTCAACGAAGAATTTGGAGCGCCCGCTGTCCTTTTTCAATGATACCAAGCTTTGTTTAGCTATGCTCGAGGATAACAAAAAAAACTCCCAACATACACCATCAACGGTTTGTCAAAAATGAATAGTCCAGATTGGTGTCTGTACAAATTTTTAAACTAAGAGCTTGCTCTCAAGAGACAAGCAATATGAAGTGAAATTTATCTTGAACTGTTCAATGTGCAGCTGTCTTGTTTGTAGGATTCCCATCCGCTGGGGGGCACAAATGGACAAATTTGCATGTACTCACCTGAAGATCTTGGAAGATCTACCCAAATCTTTCTCCAGCGGAGCAATTTCCGCCATACTTTGATCCGCATAGTTGGTGTCCACTTCGGTTGACTCCAACTGGATTGCACCGCAATCTGCTAAAGGAAACCCAAATTTGGTCTAGTAAAATGGGAACAAATACAAATTGAGGAAATATTCGTTTATTGCTGAATATAATTTCGTCATTTTGCTTTAGCAGTTTATGGGTAATAGTAAACATGGATTATTGTTCGGGACAGTTTATTATCTCATACGGTTTACCAGTTATGAGGAAAGAAACATTTTCATTTGCCGTACTTCAACTATTTTCGAGATGTCACTCTTTCTTTGGGAGACGTTGGGCACGGCGTTAAGAGACCGCGATTTTATTTAATTAGTTTCAATCAAATAGGTGGTACACCTCGATATTAAATTAAGTTGAAAAGGTTCGAAATAAAATTTTATAAGGTCTTGGTTAAAAACCCAGCGTTAAGTTAAAATTCGGCTTTGGTGATTTGCCTGTTTCGTTAAATTTGCAAATTCGTCCAATTACCAATTTCGATTAATATTAATAAATATTTTGTATGTAACTTACCTATGACAGGCTTTTCAGCGTTGTCAGAATGGTCGGATTTATCAATATTTGCTACTGAGTTTGCTGCACTTGCTCCTTCTATAACTTCATATTCGTTTTCTCTTACTGTCTCCTTAGGAACTCGAAATTTTCTTTTAAATGACACCCGTTTCTAGAAAGCAAGTATTCATTTGCAGGTAAGCGACATGTAGATACGAGGGTCGTTTGATAAGTCAGTGATTTTTTGAATAAAATATTTTTTTTCGGCCAAACAACGTTTAATCTCTCAACATAAACTCCAATTTTCCATTTTTTTTATCCTTCCAAATAAATGAATTTCTCGAGGTCCTCAAAATATGCGCTTGTTTAATTGATTACCTCTTAAATGGACCGAAATCTCTTACTCCCAGCCATTTCGTCAGGTTTAAAAACAGGAAATAGTCGCTGGGGGCTAAATATGGATAAAGTGCTGCGTGGGGCAGCAGTTCATACCCCACCCAGCGTTCGGATTGCGACGGAACATCGCTAAAAATGCATTTGAAGTGGTCAAGCGCTTATGGTCGCTTATCGTGCGGATAGCTTTTTGATATCCAAATATTTCTGTCAAATGTGATGTTTACTCTCAGTTGAGGTGCCTACAGCCTCAGCCACCTCACGCACTTTTATTCTCCGATCGTCCAGTATCGTGACATGGATTTTATCGACCATTTCTGGGGTAACAACCACTTTTGGACGACCTGAATGTTCTGCGTCATTTGTGCTGGTACAACCACAACGAAACTCAGTAAACCACTGAATGAAATTGATCCTGTAGAGGCCCCATAGTATTTATCAGGCTTTTCCTTCGTTTCTTTGATAGTTTTTTTCCGTTAAAAATAATGTATTATCAGCATTATCAGCACTCGAAATGTACTTTTTCCTATTTTTGTCGAAATTGACGAAGTCATCGTCTGCCAATGACTGCTAAATACGAACTGAACGGCGTAGAGTGCTAAAAATTTCACAACAGTCTACCAACAGACGACGGGAGTAGTGTTGACTTTAAAGTTACTGCTCGTAAAATTCAGAAAGTCACTGACTTATCAAACGAACCTCGTTTGTTGAAGACATTTTGTTTTCGCCAGTAATGCTGGATTTCATTATTGAATGTTGCAAAAATAATTATTTTTATGGTTATGAAATTGAAATGAAAAGTTAATTTCAAAAATTGAATTTGAATTGTGTTATGTATGCAGGATTATTCACAATTGAATGTTGTCTGGTGATGTTTTAGGAGTACAGAAAAAATAAGAAAAATGTTTACTGTTATTGAAAGCTGAGAAATTTGAAAAAGAGTATATTAGAAAGACGGCTTAAAAACTCCGGTACCCATGGAATTATACAGAAAGCGACAAAAATAGACAAAGATAAACGGTATATTTAACAGGATCTCGAATTTATGTTTACAAATAAACATACATTTGAGACATTAACTCGAAACAAGTAGGTGCCTGTGTAAGCTCCTTATTATCCACTCTAATCGAGCAGCTTCTCATATTCGGTTAAGTAACTCCTGCTCAATTTGTACCGGTATTCAGTAATTCATTGGTTTAATGTGTCCATGTGCTCTGTTTATCTTACATACGTGATAGCAATGCGTAAGCATCGTGTCATAATTCTTATGGTGCGCCCAGACCTACCAATCCGAACCAAAGTCGCGTCAAAATTCCTTTGGTGTTTCGTAAAAACTTCGGCACTGTCGATTTTCTGTTAATGTTTTCGACAGGCTCGGATCGTGCTCGGCTCGTTTGGTCCGGACGCATCACAATACTAGGCAAATTTTGTTTCGCATGCTACGTCACACGGTCAACAAATGCTTGTTTTCTTGATCCCCGTGTGGAAAGTACGTACTTTCACCACTGTTTGCGATGGCGAAAGTATGACTTTTTCTCATTACAAATGTTCTTCATTCGGTATGGAAAGTAATAACTTTCACCACGCACACTGAAAGCTTGACTTTGCCACTAAGTATCAGTTGACTGTTTTCCAATATTGTCAACATGTTTTTCAAAAACTTATACTTTCCTGGCTAGTTTCCACCGAGGATCAAGAAAAATAGTACACGGTACGCGAGACGAAGCCGGCCACTGCATGCATGACTCAGTCAACTTCCAACAATGGCAACTTTCGTCTCTTGTATCGTAATATATACTATATCCTTGACAAAAGCTATCTACCTGTACCTGCCTGATAATGCAAAAAAAGAATTTACATGATTGACAACTTAAATACTAACTAAACTCACTTGAAATATAGGTTCATTAGATTTCAAAGCCGACTTCCGACTCTCATCTGTTTTCGCTGCCTCGTTTAATCCATCTTCAACATCAACGACCATTTTTTCAATGCTGGTAAGTTTAGTTTCGCTAGTGGGTTGCGATCCGTCCTTAGCAAAGAAAGAATTAAACAAAATTTAGGTCTCTGTAACCAATCTCCTCATTCTTAGTAAGTTTAATACTGAAGTATTATAAAACCTAATTTAAAAATACAAGTATGTTTAAGTCTCAATTTTGGAGCTGCAAACAATATTAACTGATTCGTAATATAATCTGAGGTTTCTAGACAATACCTGCATAATTAGCAAGTGTATTTTCAGAATGAAATTCTAGTACTTTAATTAAATGTCTTTGAGTTCGTCCCGCCATACCTAAGATAAATTCGTCGACGATAAAATGCGTGGCGTGCTGCGTTCTATAAATATATAGGGTGTTCGCAAAATGCGTTAGAAAACTTTTAAGGATGATTCTACAGGCTTCTACTAAAATAATAATTGTCATGTAGCACAAATTCGAAATCGGAATATTTTCCGAGTTACAGCTCATCAAACTTCTTTTTTTTACGTATTCTGGACATTCCTTCACGGACTAAACTGCGAATTGGCGCAGAGCTTTAGCTGAGGGCAATCTAACCTTCTGATAAAAAATTGTTTATCCGCGTTGGCGTTAAATGGCACTTTACCGGAAATCCAAATTCAATTTTTAATAACTTTTTTATATCTAAAAAATCGCAAAAAGGAATACGCAATATTAAAAATTAGACAATACTAGACAAAAAAAAACACAGTTTAAAGTGATGAATTTCTATACTGCATTTGAATATTCTCAATCCATTTTAGTTTAGTGGTTTTAGAGCACAAAAATTTAGTCAAAATTGAACAGAAATTCCATAATTACTAGAACTTGTCAAATTTGGCACATTTTACAACCAGACGACTTGATTTGCTGCGATTGCAATTAAAGACACTGGATTGAGAGTGATAAAAACTTTGATGTTGATTTGCTCCTAAACGAAGAAGTTTTGCGTCATGTAAAGCACATTTTTGGTCTCGTATTTTCCAACCGTTAAAACAGCTTATTTATTTTTGCGATATTTGGCTTATCAAAAAAGTTATGGGGAAATTTAGATTTCAGGTAAAGTGCCATATAGCTGCAACGTGAAGAAACATTTTTTTTGTCAGATTGTTAGAGATTTCTCAGTTAAAACTCTGTAACGATTAATTCTCAATTTAATTCGCGAAGTAATGTCCAGAATACGTCAAAAATTAAAAGAAAAGAAATTAAGTTTGATCAGCGGTAACTCGGAATATATTCCGATTTAGAATGTGGCTACATGACTGAATATTATTATTTTGGCCTGTGGGACCCCTAAAATTTTTGGAGCATATTTTCCGACCACCCTGTATATTGATAATCTTAAAAGGCGTATTGCAGTAGAATGAGGAGTTTGAAAACAGACTTTATTATTGTCTAGAGCAAACTGGACAACATTTTGAACAATGTAATAAGATAGTGCGTATACGTGCTATCGATTTAAAAGCAGCTCCGGTATAAAAATTTCTCCGAAAAAAAAGTCCGGTTATTCGGAAGCCTCTGCACCAAAAGCAACAAAGCAGCATATAATAATGGCACAAATAATGACAAAAACTGTAATCAACTATTATTTAGGTGTTATCAGACCTCTTATCCGTGTTTCTTAATTGCTGAGTAACAGTTAAAAATTTAAATTTATAATTACATTTATGGCTTCAGGCTCCTCGATGTGAGTGTTTGATTTGCCGGTTGATTGGTTGCTGGGTATGCCGCTAACAGTATCGGAATCGCTCTTCTTCGTGTCTGGAGACACTTGATCAACTACGTCCTGCGCCAGTTTCTTCAAAGTGCCAAAGCTCACAATTTCGTCCAAAGAAGGCGTTTCGGGTATATCAGGGTCCTAATTAAGAAAATCATTAATTGGTTGATTAAACTTTGACAAAATAATTCAGTAATTCAAAACATCTTACTGCATGTTACGCATGAGGTCTATTTAAAAGTTCCGCTGTAACTTAAAAGTTCGCATGCGGCTCGTGACCTAAAATCAGTTCGTTGTGTCTATTCTATAAATGTATATTTGTATTCCTGAGCTTATTATCGTTCCGGAGCAGACTGCCAAATAAATAATCTGAACTAATAGAAACAATTATAAAAAAAAATGAAACTACTTCTACATGTATGTACATTCAACAGTTCAAAAGGATTTACAGATTAAGCCATCAGTCATATTTACAGATGAAACAGTGGAGCATACTATTAAAGTAAACATAATTTGCATTTTGCAGAAAAAATGTATACTCATTAATTTATTCGCTATGAAATGCTCGATAAGGTAGAGTTAGTTCGAAATCAGACGGTTGGGAAAGTTCGATGCAAAATGCTCGAGAGTGCAACAAAATTAGGTAAAAAACAAGGTAATTTTAAATTATTTATTTGACAATGAAAAAATAACCCAATCACGCCATACATTTAGAGAAATGTACTTGCCTGCAATACAATACGAGAGCCGCAAGGCCGATTAAGATCGGACGGACGGTTTTTGCATATTGCAATTGTTAATTAACGTACCTGCAAAAAATTACTTTTTTTTTAATTTTGTGCCAGGCTTAAAGTTATGAATATTTTATTGCGGCTGCGCTTGTACCCCTTCTTGGGCCCTTAAACTATATTATACAATTGCTATATTAACCGTTTTCCAATTTGTAATTACTTTTTCAGCAGTTTTAAAAAGTTTGAAAATTTTGGCTTATAAACAAATTAGCCTGTGAAGCGGGACTTGCAAGTGGGAACAAATAGGAAAGTACGGAAAGATAGTACGCAAAAAGATGCTTCTTTATAAAAAAAATAATTCAATTTGGTGGAGTAGATGTTGAGATATTAACTTCCAAAGTTGAGCTGCGTATACCGCGGAACGGTTAACGACATAACAGTAAAATATATACCAGTCGATAGGTTTCTGCAAGTTCTTTTCGCATCTGCTTTCACAAATTACATTGCACGTGTGCATCACTGGCAAAAATTTGTTTAAACATTGAATAGTGCGAGCTTGAATCCGAAATTCGGAGGGGTGGGGATAAGCTGGGAGACTTAAAATCGGCGTTCTCGCTTCAGGATGGTGAATTTCGGCTTCCACTGCATCGATTTTGACGATTTTATTTAAGTTGGGGTCGAAGAACGAGAGGATTTAAATTTTTATAGTTACGTTTCTCAAATAAAGTTAGAAAATGTACAATCGGTTGTCAATTTTCATAATAATTGCATTATGCAAAATAAACAATTTCATTATGCAAAAACTGTCCATCCGATCTTAATCGGCCTTGCGGCTCTCGTATTCTATTGCAGTCAAGTACGTTTCTCTAAATGTATGCCGTGATTGGGTTATTTTTTCATTGTCAAATAAATAATTTAAAATTACCTTGTGTTTTACCTACTTTTGTTGCACTTTCGAGCATTTTGCAGCGAACATTCCCAACCGTCGGATATCGAACCAACTCTATCTTATCGAACATTTCATAGCCAAGAAATTAATGAGTATACATTTTGTCTCCAAAATGTATACTTACACAGTTATATGCAATTGTTTCCGAAAAAAACGTGATTTTCGCATTTTTGTTTACTTTTTTGTTGTTTACGCAAATAGCACACCTTTTGAAGCTGGCGCACCTCGATATTTTCAACAAATATACCATTCCCGAGCGATTCCAATAGTTATCTAAGTTACGTCAAGCTAGAACATGCCAATCTGTAACTCGCCTGCACTATAGAGGAAACAGCTTCAACGCGGTTTTTAATTTATTTAGACTATTAAGTTTTCGTCTGTCAACATAGAAGATATTTCTAAAGTCGCGATAAAAACTGAAACAAAATTGTTGATCATCTACGAAGAATCACAATTTCGATGCGATTAGTATTGTTCAATATTTATGTTTGTATTGCTTAATGCGGGGCAAAAAGGAAAGAATAAAATAACTTTATCATTAATTAATATTATTTTTATCTCGCCGTCTCCTTATGAAAGTTGTTACCGCCCCAAATTGCCAATATGGTTTTGGAAAGAGCTGCTCGGAAAGTCTCTGCTTATGTGCGCCCAAACCACCTGGACATGTCCTTCAACCATGAGTTCTAGCGTCTCCCGATGGGTGTTTTTCCCTGAATCTTCCCTTCGAAGATGAGTTTCAGGATTCTGTATCGGCAGCCCCACATAATATGTCCAAGATACTGTGTTTTCCTTTCTTTTCTGTTCCTTCTTTCCTTTGTTCATAAGTCGTAAAACTTCCATATTGGTTATCTTCTGTGTCCAAGAAATTCTGAGCATGCGTCGATAGAGATACGTCTAAAATGCCTCGACAGATGGCAAATGTCTTTTGCGTTTATTTATAGTTATGATCGTAAGAAATATAAGCAACGGATATTAAATGACAAACAATTCACATTAAACTGAAATCAACACACCTATGACAGAGTCTGTAAGCTTTTTGAAGTGATTACTTCGTATGGAACTATCGAAACCCATCGGAATGTGTGGCGTCGTTATGTCTAGCGGTCTCCACCTACGGTCCTTGCTCCCTCTCTTAAACTTTGCAAAAGGCCCGGCACTAACGATACAACGCCGTCGGCCGATTTTGTCGGATGCGATTACAGCAAGAACTTGAGAGGACTTTCTTCACAGGATGAAGAAAGTTTAATTTTCTTCATCCCCTGGTGGAAAGGGCATAGTTTCGCTATTGATTTTGATAGCAAAAGATTGACTTTTACCAATGGGTAATGGCACGGACAACGACAACGACAATTTACCTTTTCTTGATCTTCTGGTGCTCACAGAACTGAAAAGATCGCCTCGGATAACGGACGGACCAACACGACGACGAACAAGGCTACAAAAAAGGATAAACGATTTTGGAAACATAAACGCAACATCACAAGAATCGCCTGCTGGAATGTAACATCATGTCAGAAACAAAAAGAAAAGGAAAGGGAACCACTTTGGTTGAACAATACACATTAGTATACAGCGGTAGAGATAAACAGGAACGAGCTCAATCCGGAGTGGGCATATTAATACACGAAAGATATGTACAAAACATAGAAGAAATAGACTATGTGAATGATAGAATATTGAAAGTATCGCTGAGGACTGGGCGAACTGTCATACACCTAATAAGCCCGTACGCCCGACATGTCTAAACCAACAGAAGAGTCAGAGATCTTCTATGAACAACTTTAGAACACTGTTAATAAAATAAACAATGGGCATAAAATTGTCATTCTTGAAGACCGTAACTCCCACATAGGAAATGAGGAGATACCAGGTGTAAAGCAAAGGTTCAACGAGGCAGTAATTAAAGAAAACGGCGAACTCCATAAGAAAACGGAAGATCAACATAAACGCAAATAACCGCACTAAGCCGTGGTTCTGCCAGGAGGTGAAACAACTTGCAGACATAAAAAAAGCAGCTATCTGAAGTACAACGGCCTACAGACAATAGAACAGCAAGCCGAATATGTACAGACTAGAAACACAGTACTCAAAAATAAAAGAAATCAAACGAGAATATTGGATTAAGTTTACTGCCGACAAGGAATACGATATGTATGGCACACAGAGAAATGTAAGAAAACTTCTCAAAAACAGGAAAAAGCCAGTGAATGAGTATGCACAAACCCAAGGAGCGTCTATGGAAACCTGGGACGAATACTTATACTATACAGACAGCTTTACAAATTTGAAGAAACAGCAAATTTGGAAGAACACATAACTGTATTTAACGCTACGATGGACGAATCGGAAATATAACTTAGATCAAAGAAACTGAATAACAAGAAACCTCCGGGACCAGACAACAATATTCTGCGCACAGCACAAGTACCGCAGTATTGGCTTCAAAGCGTCACGATTCCTATCTTTAAAAAGGGACAAACGACATACCCAGACAATTACAGAGGAATTACATTACTATGTACTACAATGAAACTATTTACAGAAATACTGAAGAACAAGCTAGAAGAACATATGGAAAACCGAAGAACAACAAGGGGTTATGAGGAACAGATCAACAACAGACGATATATTCATTGTCAAACAAATAAAGGAAAAGGCTATAGAATTCAACACACCGGCCTATATGTGCTCACAGATCTGACCAAGGCGTTTGATAGGGTGCGTCTAGCCGACATCGTCAAGAGCTTAACAGGAAGGTATACACCAGCAAACATTATAAAAGTAATTCACGATCTAAATAGTCACAACACAACAAAAGTAAAATCGCAAAACCATATAGCAAATAGCATTCCAATACTAGTAGGAATCCGACAAGGGGGTAGTCTCAGTCCGTCTCTGTTCAATATCCCCATGGATACAATTATAGAAGCAGTGACATCCCTGAACCTAAGGTACAAAATTAACAACAAGAGAATCAGCTTGTTATGTTATGCCGACGACGCCGCAATTATCGCGAAGAACGAAGACGACCTCTAGAGGCGGCTTTTCAGATTCCACCAAATCAGCCAACGGCTCAACATGACAATCTCTATTAGCAAAAGAAAAAGTATGACAGTCGCCAGGAAACTTGTTCGATGTAAACTTGCTATCAAAGGCCAAATCATAGAACAAGTATTACAATTTAAATACCTTGGCGTAGCCCGTGTCAAGTGACCCAGTCAAGGACATAAGAAGTCAAATCAATGAAGCTGCGGCAGTATCAGGATGCCTTAGGGAAATCGCATGGGTAATCAATTCATGCGGACAGAGAGCAAAGTAAAAATGTACAAAACATGCGTGAGACCCATTATGACGTACGTCATAGAGATACGAGAAGATACAAATTAAACGACGCGCATGCTGCGAGTAGCATAGATGAAGACTCTAAGAACGATCGTTGGAAAAACCAGAAGAGACAGGGTGATAAACACGGATATCCGGGAACAGTGGAGTGCAGGATGTGGTGCAATGAGGAGGAGAAAGAAAGAGACAGTGGTACAGTCACGTAAAAAGGATGGACGAAAACCGTCTTCTCGTATAGTTTATATATACAGTAGGTACTAGACCAGCGGGAAGACCACTTAAAAGATGGAAGGATAGCTGACAGTCAACATCCCAGTAAATACTGCAGAGGCGTGCGCAGAATTAACAGATCGCAAGATCTCGAAAAAGTATAAGAAGAAGAAGAAGATCTTCAGGGGGAAAGTACATTCTTTCGCCACTGTTTTTGATGGCAAAAGCATCACTTTTATCCATTACAAATTTTCTTCACCCCGTGTGGACTGTTTGACTGCTGACACGTTTTCAAAGCCTGTCTTTAAGAGCTTATCATTTTGCAGACTTGTTTCCACCAAGGATCTATCCGAAGAACGGAAAATAGTATACGGTTGTAAAAGTTTGAAAAAGTTGTTGTTAAAACTCAAAAGAAAAAGTCAGCTGACCGTCAAAGGCAAAAAGTCAGCTGTCAGAAGCGTACGACGAGCGTACTACGTAAAATTACTACTTTCTACACCGGATAAAGAACTATTAATTGAATAATGCGAAGAAAGGTAAATGGTCATTGTAATGAGAAAAAGTGATTTTTCGCTGTTGAAAACAGTAGCAAAACTGTGTGCTTTCCTCCAGGCGATCAACAAAATATACATGCCACATTTAAAAGGAAATTAAATTCCATTCTGCCTATTTCTGTGATCCTTTTATCAATTATTAGACTGATAAGAATATTGAAAGACAGGACAGAAAAGCCGATTGGGTCGATAACCTTTTTCTATAGGATATACAGGGTGATTCAAAATTGGCGTCCTTCCTCTGGAGGTGTTGTCTGGCGCTGTTATAGGAGTACAGAAAAAATAAATTAATTGTTATTAAAATTTGCAAAAAACTATATCAGAAATACAGCAGCAAGGTTTTTCAAGGTAATCTGCCTAATTAACATTGCGCAAATACCTGTGGCTTCGTAATTATTTAAAACTCCGGTAACCATGGAATCATACAGACTGACAATAAGATAGACAAGGATAAACGGTAAATTCAACAAGATTTGTTGACGAAATGTCAACCTGTTCTCATAACCTCGAATATGGGTGTTTAT